TTCTTCTTCTTCTTCTTCTCTAACTGTCTTTCTCTTCTTCTGCTTCTTCTCTTTCATCTTTCTTTCTTGACTGTCTCGACTCGAAGCGCCGCCGGCCGCACTAAGAGAGGAAAAAAAGACTTTTCGTTGCTTTTGCCGGCTTCATCTTACTCTTCGTCTTACTCTCTTCTTCATCTCCATCTCTCCATCTCTTCCGTCTTCTCTCTCTCTTCGTCTTCGTCTTTCGCTTCATCTTCATCTTCACGCTCGTTTGTCTTCGGACGTTACGCTCTCTCGCTGTCTTTTGCTCTTCTCCTGCTTCTGCTTCTTCTGCTTCTTCTTCTGCTGTCTCGCCGCCACTGACAAAGACGGGTCGCAAGTAAGCGCGCATCCTCCTGCATCTTCTCTGACACCATCAAAGACAAGGACGAGAAGAAGGAGATCAAGGGAATAAGAGATCAAGAGAAAAGGAGACTGGCCTCGCCGTCTTCATCTTGTCTTGTTCTCTTGTCTTTGCTGTCTTGCTGTCTTTTTTCTGTCTTCTCTGTCTTCTCTGTCTTCTCATCCTCAGCCTGACCCTCGACACTCGTTATTCCTTCACTCAGCCATCTTCTATCACTGCCCGTCTTCACTCAATTATCTCGTCTATTGCGATTCATCTCGTCCTCCAATGCTAATCCGTCCAGCTGTTATGACCTAGAGACCGCAGCCGCACTCGTTTCCCGGACTCCTGTCCACCACACTCTTTACCCAGCCAGCGACAGCCATCCACCATCCAACCAACCAAAACCCATTCACCACGAAGACCACGAAGAAAGATACATATAATTCCCGTTAATACGTCTTAATTCAACCAGCCTGACGACGGGCGAGAGATGCGCCTTGCCGCTGCCCTCCTCGCGGCCGTCGCCGTAGAGGCGCTGGGCGACCTTCCCGCCGCCCACAGGCCGCAGCACTACTTCCCGCGCCTCGTCAGGAGAGACCTCGACCGCACCTCATGGGGCTCCTCCAGGAAGATGGTCAAGGCCGCCGAGCCCATGGACAGGCGCGAGGTCGTCGTCGTGCCCGTCACGGTGAAAAAGGGGCCCGACGGCAGCCTGCACGGCGAGCCCAGCGACCTGCCGCACTACTACAACGCCATCATCATGCCCACCGCGGCCTCGACCGACTCCTCGACGACGACCACCACCACCAGCAGCGATACCACCAGCGACACCACCAGTGGCACGTCTACGGGGGACTCTAGCTCGAGTGGAAGTGCAACCTCAAGTGGAGGTGCCAGCTCGGGTGCGGGTGAAAGTCCCAGCCCAACTCCCACTCCCACTCCCACTCCGACTCCAACGCCAAACGACCCGGTAACGACGCCTCCTCCAACGGTCTATCCAACGGCGCCAACGGTCCCTTCAATGCCGTCTGAACCTTCTGAGCCCGCCGAACCTAGTGAGCCAAGTGAGCCTACGCTCATTATCCCAACGGCCCCTTCAAGCAAGCCCACCGTGCCAGAAGAGCCAACGCCGTCAGCACCGCCAACACCGCCAGATGAGCCCGTCTCCTCGGTGCCGCTGCCTCCTGTCCTGTCTAGTCCTCCGGTTACCTCTCCCAGCAGCCCTGAGATGTCTACCCCGGCTCCCACTCTGCTGCCTACCTCGTTTCCCACCTTGCTTCCCCCTGAGGAGCCGCCGTCTTCGTCTGCTTCTTCTCAGCCTCCCCAGGACCCAAGCTCCTACACTCCTCCTCCGCAGGTCCCACCGTCATCAGAGGCCCCTATTAGTCCCCCAGCTGATCCCACCACTACCCCCGGTGCTCCTGAGTCTCCCGTGCCTACATCTGTAGTGCCCTCCATGCCCTCCGTGCCCTCCATGCCTTCAATGCCTTCAATGCCCTCCATGCCTCCCATGAGCCCCTCGCAGGGAGTCAGTCACCCCGGCGGCGTGCCTACTGGAGACAGCACTCTCATCCCGCTGCCCACTCTGTTCCCCTCGTCCTCTGCTCCGGCTTCTCCCCCTACCCAGCCCGGTCAATCTTCTCAACCTTCTCAGCCTGGTCAATCCTCCCAGCCAATGCAGCCTACTCCGCCAGAGACACCTACTATCCCGACTACTTCGGCCACGGGAGGCATGACTTACCCGGGCGGAGGCACAGGAACTGGATCTAACCCGACTTCTACTGAGGGGACAGGCATTCTGCCCACTCTCCTCCCAATTCCCTCCGATTCTACTGGTACTTCCACTGGTACTAGTATGGGTACTTCCACTGGTGCTGGTACTTCCGCTGGATCTTCTACTGGGACTGGAACTACTTCTACGGGAACTCCTATCAGCTCCCCATCCTCTCCCGTCTCCATCTCTATTCCAATCTCCCTCCCAACCGACCTCACCAGTGTCACCAATTTCCCTACCTACTCTCCCTCCGGTGACCCAGCTACCGTCACTGGCCCTGGCAGCGGAACAGCCACGACCCCTATTACTTCTATTCTTCCCACGGGAACTGGAACCTCCACTGGAACTACAGGCACAGGAACTTCAACTGGATCGTCTACTGGATCGTCTACTGGAACCTCTGCTACCACTGGTACCAGCACAGAGACGCCTACCTCAGTCACCTTCCCATCGCTCTCAATCCCTACTGGTACCGCCTCGACTTCCTCCGGCACCATTGGAACTGGCATCACCACCACTCCCACCGGCACCGGCACCGGAACCATGGGCAGCAGCACGTACTCCTCCCACCCAACCTCTGCCTCGGAGACCTCCACCTCTGGCTCTGGCTCGGATACCTCTACCGTCCATCCCTCGACGATGATGACCGTAACCACCACCACCCGCCCGTCCTCCCACACGCCAACCCCAACTTCCACTATGCCTTCCTCCTCGGCTCCCATCTCTACCAACTCCGATACCACTCTGTCCGTGCCAACCTCCATCATCATCCAGCCCTCCACCACCACCACCACTACGTCGGCCACTGCTACCCATTCCCCCAAGCCGTTGCCATACATGATCTCCCCTCCCAACGCTAAGCCACCACCACCAGACTCGGTCCTCATCCAGCTAGGATTCAATGGCTCTCTACCCTATGAGTTCATCGCCCTCAACACTGATGTGGTCACCCAAATCTTTACTTTCATGCCCTTGGGAGTATCTTATGCCGTCGAAGTCGACAAGGACGAGACCCCCATCACAGGTATCGGGCAGTACGACAGGGGTACCCACAAGGGCTACACCACCGCCCTCGTCTTTTGCTTCATCCCCAAAGACGTTTACAAAGTTCTTGCAACCAGTCTCACCACCCCGCAGTCCAGGCTCTACACTAATCCGGACGCATCAACCTTCACACTCATGTCCATGATCGACCCTACCATCCCCTTACTTGCCGGTGGTCAAACAGTGCCCGGAGGAGGCAGTGCTCCATACCCAGGTGGCCTTCCCGGTTCAGGCAACAATGGCGGCAACGGTGACGGTACTGACGGTACCGAAAACAAAGGAAAAGGTCCCGGAGGCTCGGCTGGCGGAACTGGCATCAAACCAACTGCAGTCGGCATCGGTCTAGGCGTCGTCGGTGGAGCTGCCCTGTACGGAGCAGCCATGTTCTTCGTTGCTCGCCGCTACAGAAAGAAACGCAATCTACATCGTCGATCGGACTCGCTGACCAGTGGTATGGGCTCCCCAACGCCTTACCACGATGAGCAGCGTGCCGGCAGTCCGTTCGCAGGCACAACTATGAACGATCGGTACTCGGGTGCTGGTAGTGGTCGGACAGCGCAGATCAGTGCGCCTGTCATGGCTGAAAACTCCCTTGGCTGGAATTAGCCTTGTCACCACCACCACCACCACCACCACCACCACCACCCAGGAACGCCCATCTATGCATGCCGTGCCGTTCCTCTAATTTTTTCTACCTACCGTCTGCCTAAGTTACATACGCCTCTGTCCTTGCTTTTACGTGTCGACGCTTTTTCTTTCTTTTTTTTATAGACAGCTGGATATCCTCACTATTCCCCCCTTCCCCCTCGTCCCCGTCACCGTCACCGTCACCGTCACCTCCCTCCTCTTTACTACCGTCAGCAAACACCAACGCGTACTCTGGTTCAGTCCAAACCGTTTCTGTTCCCTATGTCTGCCTGCGTCCTTGCCTGCTTAAATGTACCAACACACGTTCCCTGATTCGAAGATCAAAAAAAAAGAGAGTCTCAACAGAGGCAGACATCAACCACCCACCAAACCAGCTCAGTACTCCCCCTGACCCCCTTTTTCCTCTCCCCCTTTTTACCCCAATACCCATTCCCATTCCCATCCCCTTCCCCCTCCCTGCCCATTTCCTATGTTTTAATTGAAATCTTCCAGCTCAAATATCGATCTGCCTGTGCTTTCGCCCTCCCCCTTTTGCTCTCCCCCTTAAATGCTTTTTTTATACACCGCGTACTAACCTAGCCATCTTCTACCCTACCTATTTTACTCGTTGATACCTTTCTTGCCTGCTCACCGGCCCCCTTTTTACTTTCCTTTACTACTTTTATTCATATACTTAGTTAGTTACCCTTCATGGCTATCTATGTACATATGTTATAGGCAGACATTCACTCACGTCTTTCCTTGTGTTTATAGTATATAATATGTAGATATCGTGTGTAGGGCAGAAGTAGGAATAGAATCAAATCAAAAACTGCTTTCATTCTTTATACGAGTCAGCAAGCAATGAAACGGATCCCATCTAATGGGGCTGAGATGGCCGGGATCAGGCATCGTCGTATACTCTAATATCAACCTCCAGTCCGCCCATACCATCATCACCACCACCACCGCCGCCACCAAGACATACACAGATATCTATAGATATATAGATATATAGATATAGATATAGACCACGATGACAGACTGGACCCGAGAGACGCTCCTCTCGCACCTCTCCTACGGCTACTCCCTCAAGGACCTGCCGCCCCCGCAGCGCATCCCATCCACCCGCCTCGCCCGCGAAGCCACAGCCATCTCATCCTCCTCCATCGGCGCCCTCGACACCCTCCCGCTCGAACTCCTGCACCTCATCCTCGAGCAAACCGACATCCTCACCCTGCTGCGCTTCGCCCGCACCTCGCTGCGCGCCAAATCCGTCCTCTCGTCGCTGCACGCCTACAACTTCCTGCTCGCCCACGCCCCAGACGCCCTCCGCCAGCTCGCCCTCGCCAACCTCCTTGCAGCCCACGAGACCCGCTCGATCTACACGGCGCTGCTCTCAACCGCCTGCTCGTCCTGCCTCCAGCCCTCGCGAGCAACTCACTTCTACCTCCCCTCGGCCCAACGAATCTGCTATTCCTGTCGCACGCTCAACCCGGGCCTATGGCTGATCCCGCTGTCCTTCGCCAGACGCTGTTTCAGGCTCGGCGCTTCATCCACCGCAAAGCTTCCCCTGCTTCACTTCCGGCCTGACACCACCGGAACTACCACCATCATCACCTCCGGCAACCGCAAGCACAAGCACAGGCGCAAGTCCGAGCCGTGCGTGTCGCTTCGTGACGTGCGCCGGCTCGCGGAGAAGGTGCATGGTTCCATGGAGGAGGTGTATCGGCTGCAGACCAAGGGCGGCATGCACGCTTCCTGTCTGATGGAAGCCTACTTGATGCAGTTCCTACGAGACGCGCCCTGCCAGCCCTTCACCCCGTTCCTGCTAGCGTCGACGGGCTGGTGGGAGGAGATTTCAGAGTACCTTGCTCGTCTGCTGGATGACCTGGGTGTGGTGGGCAGGGAGTGTGTGCCGTTGCCGTGGCCTGATGCCAGCATGGTGGTGCCTTCGCCCGCTTCTACATCTACATCTACTTCTACTTCTTCATCTTCCTCTTCAGCAGGAGATGATGTTATGGAGGGGTACTGGTGTCAGGGCTGCTCGAAGCTGGCCATGTGGTATCTGCAAGGCAGGATGGAGAGAGAGGTGTATTCGACGTTGGTGCCTGGTGTGTCTGATGGGTTTGAAACCATCAAGGCCTTGTACGCGCTGGCTATGCGGGTCCGGTCAAAGGACGAGTTCTGGCGCCATGTTGCTACTTGCTATGCCGTGCAGCAGAACATGCCGGACATCAGGCTGGTGTTGGGCCAGCTACATCTAAGGTGATGATTAGATTAGATTTGCTTTTATCGAACCGTGGGTTGTCGTTAATAGTCTATTCATTCTCCTCTCTATTTTTTTTTTTTTTTTTTTACCTGATAATCATTGCCATGAACTCTATCAGCTCGGCTATACATTTTGTCTCTCTGTTTATTTTGGTTACTGTTATCGGCAACCAAGGTGTCTTCAGCATGTACTCAGCAACCGGATCCTGAAATACTGACGCAACAGTTCAAATTAGAATGCCGGTGGCAAGGAGGTCATTAATTCATAGATATTAAGAACAAGACAGGTAAGTCATCATAAACAGAGCGCTTTTCTTCTTCAAAAAGGCGGACAAAAGGGAAAAAAAAAGCATGAGAACCGAAGAGCAGGAACCAGAGTACGCAGTACGAAGTAGTCGGCATATAGACGGGAAAAAAAAGAAAAAGATAAAAGCGAAAAACCAGTCGGGAAAAGAGGAAACAAGAAGGGAAGCCAAATCATTCGCTGGGAAGATATGGAAGTATGAAGGAGAGTCGAGAGTAGCATGAAGTCATTGCGGCATAAGCATGAGGAATATGGAAAAAAAGAAAGAAATCCGGATAAAGAAAAAAAGAAGAAGAGAAAGCCGCCCCCATGAGACGGCCAAGGACGAGCCGACCAGGGGCTGAAGAAAAGTGGCAGGAGTACACGACGAGCACACCAAACTGCCTGCGCGGGTAGCAGGCTTAAAGCGAGGATTAGTCGTAGAAGATCGTTCTGGCCGCCGATGACCATGCGGCGGGATGCAGTCTTGCCTTTCCGAGATCCTTCCTCGGCTTGCTCACTGGCTTAGCTTCGTCTGCTGATGCCTTTAAGTTCGACCTCGCTGTGACGGGTTTGATTGTAAGCAGATGTATCAAAACACGCATGCATGCATGCGCTGGGTCGGGATAGATAGTCAAAAAATGGATGGGCAGGCGCGTATTTCGTACATGCACGGGAGACGGGATAGGTCGGAGAGACGAATAGAAATACAGAAGTCAAGACGAGGCATACTCGGGAAAAGCGCAAAAATGAGGAACGGGGAAGGCATGTAAGAGAGAGAAGAAAGGGGAAGAAGCAAAAAATAAAAAGGGTGCGGGTTCAGTTCGGGGAGATCATGGTATATCCTCCGTTTGTCGAATAAAAAAAGGACCCATAATGTTAATAGGGAAAATGGAAAAGAAAAGAAGGTCGATAAGAACTGAAAAAATCGAGAGTAGGGCAAGGATAACAACCACCCTTAGGACTCTGACTGCATCGCTGTTCTCGTCCAATGTGAGGTGCAGAAGAGGGACCCAGCAGGGGATGCAGGCTGCAGGTATCGAGGGGGGTGGGATACGGTATGAAGGGCAAACGGGGGAAGGGAGCAAGGGGAGGCAGACAGGTATGGAACAGTTCATCGACACAGCAGCAATGGGGTTAAAGATAAATCAAGTACACGTATTGGGGAAACGGATGCTCGTCCTCGACTTCTCCTGGGATCGTAGGGAAGGGGAGCAAAAAAAAAAAATAAAAATAAAAATAAAAATAAAAATAAAAATAAAAAACATCTGATAGAACTTACAAGACAAGAGTAGAGTTCGGTGGTATTAGTCCGGGGAAGCCACTAAGAAAACACACCACAAGAATCAGCCGAATTAGTTGTTACCAGCGCCACGCAGCCTGACATGTAACTCGTCTTGTTGGGCACAGTATTCTCTCCCTTTCATTTGCCGCCCTTTCTCTTATTATCCTGCCGGACAGCCAGAGAAGGGGCCGGGCAAATAAAAGGGGGCAGAGCTAGCAAAGGGTGGCCCTGGGAAAACAGCGCAATGGGGGCAAGAGATGGAAAAAGGCCATACCGGTCGCCGTATGCATAGTCCCTGGACGCCAATCGTTGTTAGCCGTGATACGTGGACAAAAGGGGAGAGGGCAATATGACCGTCCATATTGTATTATATATTAAATACTTACCCGCTAATGGTCAGTATGCACTTCTCGCCAACTGTCATGTTCATCACGCCTTCGTCCCATCCTGTGCAGTAGAAGGCTGAGGTTAGGGACTTGGACATCGGGAATGCCTGCTGTACTGGACTACAAGACCAGCCAGAGAAGGGCCAGCCAGCGTCTATCAGTGTCTCTCCATACCTCGAATGACCTTGCCGATACCGATTGGAGTCTTGAACTCTCCTCGATCTTTTGACGAATCGAACCTGGAAACAAAGCGAACATGCATGAGCTGACTAGTCATCCAAGGCCAAGTTTTTATTTTCGGTTTCGTCTTTTTTTCAAAAAAATTCCAATCATACGACTTTTTATTTTTCTCATCCCCATAGACAAGACCAAGTTAGACATGAAACGGAAGTTGACATACTGCTTGCCCATGTTATGATATGTAGATCGGCTAGGGTCGTAGAGGCATCCACGATAGTCGATTATCACCTCGTCTCCCTTGGTAGGCCGGTCAACTCCGTTGCCGCTTCGAAGAATTGTCTTGGTAACGCCCATGCTGGCTATCTTGTAATTGCAAGGAGTGGTTGCGAGTATCGCTTGGGTTCTAGGTCGTCGTAGGTGTCGTGGGTATTGGGTAGCTCTCTCCTCCTTAAGAGTGCAAGTGTTCGCAATTGACAGCGAGTATAATTAATGATTAAAGAAGGATATACAGCGAGGGAAATGGTGAACAGATTGAGAGGCAATTAGATGAAGGTGAGGGGGAGCAGGAGTGTATATTTTGCTGAGAACCAGGTTCAATTGAACGCTCACGCGCTACAATGAAGTGTGATGCAGCTAGGAGAGGGACGAACGAAGGGATGAAAGGGAGACAGCTTTAGAGATATGACGACGGAGTCAGAGGTCCAGGCGACATGCTACTCTATATATCTCCGACCTTGCTCTCACGCCTAGCTCGGTTCTTTTTTTTTTTTTCCCTTTTTTTTTTTCAAGTTGCCCCGTCCTTTTTTGCAGTGTCTCGCTCTTTTTGCCTACATATTCAGATTCATGCTGGATACGTAACTAACGAGCGAATGACAGGGAACAGGCTAGACGGGTTGGGTGGATGGGCGCCCACCTGCTGAAAGCCAAAAGTCTGGGGCAAGTCGACAGTAACTTAGTTAGTCGAACAGCCGCAGGGTTTAGGATGAGGTACATTCCCAATCCTAAATTTCGTTTGTTCCAGACAGGAATCCACCGGTGCGAACCTCGAGCTGATATTTATCAGTAGTAACGAAGCCTTCCAAGGGCGTGTGTGCGAGGGAAACAGGAAAAGAAGAGCTGGGGTGCTCGCACAGATCCTACCAGTGGGTCGGTTGATAGTTATTTGAGCTTTTGAGAGGCCGGAAGAGAGATGGAGAGTCGGGCAAACCGTTTATTAGAGTTGGAAAAAGCAGAGCACCTGTTCAAGTGGGATTTGAAAAAATTGAAGCTCACGATGAGGACATCCCACTGGAGGATGGGAGTTGAGAATTGCTTTTTCGCCCAAGCTCGTAGATGGGGGATATCAGCCCCATCAATACTATGCTGTCGATTGTATGTATGTATGTATACAGTACTGGGTAGACATCCGGCCTGAAGAGGGAGGTCGTTAACGCTGCCACATCACCGGAGCATTGTGGTGGAGGCCGTCCCATGTCCCTGGCAGGATACTGGTCGAGCTTGCTCAGCCTGTGTTGCTGTCTTGCAGCTTGCTATCTGCTCCAAACTGTCAGCCGTTGATTGACTATAGCCATGAAACGGGGGTCACAAGCCAGCTCGACTTGAGTCTACCTTATTTTTGCGTGTTGATCGGTCCATCCACGGCCATAGGCCACGAGATATACACGCATCCGGCCGGCTGTGCGCGTCATGGCAAAAGCAGGCCAGAAGGCAAAGGCAAAGGCGCAGGCGAAGGCGAAGGCGACGGCGACGTCGTTGATGTTTGTTTGTTTGTTGTCTCTTTCTCGAGCTGCGGTTGAAGCTGAGGGACGTCGTCTTATTTCCTCTTTGGGAACAAGCAGAGGCCCCGGCGTCTCTTTTTCTTTTTTGGGCGGCCTTCAACTTCGACTTCAACCTCCATCAACCTCAACCTCCATCACAGCACAAAGCAGCGTTGACGACCAGCTGCGCCAGCTAACTAGTTAACCGATACACCCACTCGAGCTGCTCGGAGAAACGCTGGAAAAGTGCTGTATACGCCAGCCAGCGGATCCCATATCCTAGTGTCAGCGAATGGTACGCGATGCCCGCGCCCAGCGCTAACTAAGTTACGCACGCTAATCACGCTACTGTAGGTGGTGCTGCCTCGACTCCCTCTCGGATCTTGAGTTGAGAATGCAGGCAGAGCAGCCCGTTCCATCCATCGAGGGTGCTTGTAATGCTTGTGCTGCTTGTGCTCATGCGATAGTTATCGACTACCCCGGGTTGTTTTCGGACCCAGAGAATGGGGAGTTTGCAAACATCTGGCAGAGGTACATATTAGGTAGCCTTCAAGTCGCGGGATGTAAGTAACACCAGTCGCAGACACATCAATCGATAGTCCTGCGCGGCTTGCATCCGTCCGTCTCGCTTTTTGTTTTCTTCTAGCTGCGTCCGTATCTCGTCCTTCGCTGGAGCCGCTGGAGCTTGCCGCCCTCCCCCACCGGTCGTGATTTGCTCCTCTCGGGTCTCTCTGTACGCTGGACAGAGTATAAAAATGTGAACTGACCCCGGGCGTTCTAGATCGATGCCCACTTGATATTTTTAGTTTTGGACTGTGGCAGGGGGGGTCTCATTGTGGAAGTCACAAGCCAGTCAAGAAGGGCAAAAGATGTTTGAGAACACACACCCACACCCACAATAACAGCAGGAGAAATGGAGTCTCGGGGTCCTGCTGGATTCTCTTGGGGGTACATCTGTCGCTCATCGTATCGACCAGACATGTCGACTTAGCCCCGGGTCCTTGGCGAAGTCTCACCCCAGTTGCCGGATACATGCGCCAGTTGACGCAGCCACAGAAGCGATTGGGAATCACAGTCGACAGCTCGCCACTCCTTATCATCAACATCTGTATGGACAGAGTGTCTTCATGCTGGCTGGGGAAAGCATTCCCAAACTGGGATAATCAGACAACCAGGAAAAAGAGACGGGGGGGGAAAAAGAACGAAAACGAAAATGAAAATCCAACCATTTGTGCATCCACATCGGTGCCTGCAACATTCGCTGAATTGTTCAATCCATGCACCTATCCATGGCCCATAGTATGATTTCACTGGAGGTGGTTCTCCATTTTTAGCTGTTGGTCACACGGACCCCCCTACACCATGATCTACAGATGGCCCCTACAAAAACGAGTCGTGGCAGGAATCAAAAAACCACGCTCTTCCTGTCGTTAGTTTGTGTTGACTAACCCCAGAACTAACTAGCTAGTATGTTATCGATAAAACTAGGCTCAAGGAGGGGCCATGGCATGTATCTCTTCTCGATTTTGAGGCCACTTGCGCGTGCTCTTCCCGCAGTCGAACTGTGCTGATACATCGACCATTACACTGACTTGATCTGTGTACTTAGACACCCAGGCTTGCGTGTTCTCTAGATCCCCGAGCCGGCATGTGCTGCAGACCCAACTGTCCTGACAGGGAAGTTAGAAAGGTTCGCTACATTCTGGATACATCTCCATAGTTATGGTGGAGGAGGGCGGGGACCACAAATCCCCTGACTATCCGTAACTCCCTGTCTTTATCCTATTTTGCCCTTTCGATTTGGCCCTCTTCAGCAGGCACAACTCACTAATCCATCACTAATCATACTCTTTTTAACTAGTTAACTAACTCGCTACCCTACCCACTCGATCAAGCTAACTATACATAGTAGCATACGGACCTGGAAGATTAGGTTCACTCTCAACGCAAAGAAGAATCCCAAGGTTGTTGTTTCAGTTTGTACAAATGTTTTGCTAGATTCCACACTTCATTCAACGATAAAGAATCAAAATGTGTGCTTTAGGTGAGCTGCTTAATTGCACCCTGAACAACCAGCCGCTTCCCCTGAGTTTTTTTCCCTTTGTCCGGAGCTGCAGTATGCATGCATCGGACGCCATTCCATCCTCCTAGAGTCTCGCAGGGAAAAATAATAGTATGTCTACATCCTCCGCGATTTACGGAACGCAAAGATGCAGAGAGACTTCGTATACGAGCCGCACTTGGGCCTACATGGTCTCTACACGAAGTTGACAGCGTGCAAACGATCCATACGAATGCAACGGGTTTATAGATATCGATCAGGGCTGAAGAGCAAACGCCATCCCCCATCCATCAACTTCCCTGGCCGGTCAGATCCAGAATATGTTATCATGTAGTAACACCGCCCTATCTTCAACCATCCCATGGGAAGCATCCGGGGAGACGTCTCCCTCGAATCCGAGCACAACTGCAGGATCCTTTGATCTCATGGTAAAACCAAGATACATAGAAATGCCTAAACGAGAGTATGTATCAGCACCTCATAAGGGTCCGGGATCAAATGCAAGCCACCTCATCAACTTGACAGGCATATACAATAGTCAATATATGTTTATGCACAATTTCTCGTCTTTCACGGAATGGGTGTATACAGGTTAGTCTAAAAGGAGTAAATCTGTGCCCGTTAATCGAGGTTATCACATTTATAGCGTCCGTCTCCACGGCCTGGACCCTCCAACACTCTGACCAGGCTTGCATTCGCGTTGTTTTCTCCTTCTTTGTGGTCTATCATCCGGTTCCCTCTGGAGGACCCCATAAACCTACATGGTACTAATTACGGATTTATCTCGCGTCCTCGAAGCCTCTTCCGATATTAACCTCTACACGGGGCGTACGATGCAAGTAATAAAGCGCTCAGACATCATCTGAGTTGCTCCCTTGTTGGCTTCTGCCCAAACAGAACGGCTCACAGCATTGTTGATCTCTGGTTGTTTTCTCCATCGGGTGGATGATTGATCATCATGACTACGACTTACAGACATCGCTATACCCGCCTTCACCCTTGACATTAATGCCGTCTCCCACCGTTCCCCTCCACCCCTCCCTTCTATCCGCAGACTCGGCCCGCATGGAGATGCTTGACAGAAGCCTCTAGATCGCGGCCGGGAGACGGGTGGCAGCCGGCTGAAACTAAAATCAAAAGCGGTAATACATCACGCTTCCGCAAGCTGCACCTAGATATGCAGTGTTATTGCCTCCCATCAAATCCACAAAAGCGGAAGCGAGGGAAATAGTTATTATCGCAATCTGGGGGTTCAACCTTGCTGGCTCTGAGGGCTGGTTGATGCGATGAGTATACCAATGGACCCGGTTGGCGCTTTGAGTGCCTGTCAAACCAGCATTCAAAGACGACAGTGAGATCCAGAATTTGTAATGGGGCTGAAAGGACAGGAGGGTCAAGGGGATGGGGGAAGCGAGTCGTTTGTGGGATTTTTTGTATATAGAAGGATCCCTCCCTGACGTGCGGGGACCTCCGTGGCCAGGTCAGTTGTGGACTCCTTGTGGGCAGATCTTGTGAATGGAGAGATTTGCCAACATACATAAGTAATATAGTCCTGCATCTTCTCGCGTGCCTTTTCATTCCCTTTCCACCGAGCTTGTGATAAGGCCTGCTTCAGGGCCGATCAAGGAGCTACATCTATCAAAGTGTAAAATCGGTATATAGTTATATATAATTTATATAACATTGGGTCCGATCCATCAAGTTACTCCAGGGTATCTTCCTTGTATGTCCCCATACGAGACCCTTTTTTTTTTTTTTAAACTCCTGATAGCCGCTGCTATTATTTCAAGTTGTGCAATTGGCCGTCTTAGGCGCTGTGATATAGTTCGATATCCCAACTAGAGATGATCGGTGTTGATCATCCGTAAATCGCACGCAAGGGGAAGGGCTGGTTCGGCGGCTGGCTGTGCGATCAGATCTGACGGCATATGCACTCCTGTCGAGTATGCACCCGATATGCATAGGGCTCAGCGGCGGGTACTGCTTAAAATCAGGTTTAAGGGGTGGAGTCTGCATGGCAATGGCCATGGATTGTCCATGAATAGACATGTTACATCTAGGATATCTTGGGATTCAAGTGTTTGGTAGGTAGAAAGGGGTCCGTTGAGTATGTATATATTGATAGATTCATTGGACATATAGACAGTAGGGGCAGCCAACCAACGTAACCAGGAAATAAAAAATATTATGACATGATAAAGCATAATGATCAGCTACCGCATGTATGCAAGGCAAAATTGAAAATGAATAAAAAAAAGGCAGAGAAAAGCATTAACAGAACATTCGTGAAAGCCGGTGCTTGATTGCCGGTAGGAAGCCCTGTGGACCAGGATACTCAGTATCATCCCACTGTTCGGCATCACATTCCAGACGACCGGAGTCAATGTCAACTTCTAAGAGATCGATGAGCCTGGTGCGAAACCACAGCTTGTGGCCGACGAACAAGACAACGAAGAGGATCAAGCTGACGTATGCGATGAAGAAGTTGGAGGTATTCCAGGGAATAAAAGCTGTGAATCCCTGGGTGAGGATGATGAGGACGGTGAATCCTAGACCGTAGTAGGCTAGGAAAGGTTGGAAGGGCGCCTTATATGGCAGTGACTCTCTGCTGATGCCACGGGCCGCAAGGGCGCGCATGAAACGGATGTGGCACCCGTTGATGCAGGACCAGGAGATGAAACCGGCGATACTGCTGATGTTCAGGAACCAGCCGAACACAGTTCCACCGTTGTTAGAAAGGTTAAGGAATCCTAGGAAACCGATGGAGGAGGTAAAGAGGACCGCTAAGATCGGGACACCGCCTCTGGTGGTCTTTTTGAAGAAACTGGGAGCACATCTCTCGGTTGCGAGACCGACGACGATACGGCTGCCACAGTAGACATTTGAGTTGGCGGCCGAAAGCACGACGGTGAGCAGGACGGCGTTGATAATGTCTGGGAGCACCTTGACGCCGGCTAGCTTAGCTGCAATGACGAAGGGAGAGGCAGAAGCATCAGTGTTGCTGGAGAGGAGGTTCTTGTTGGTGTAGGGGATGAGGATGCCGATGAAGAAGACGGTCAGGACGAAGAGGAAGAGGATACGGTAGAAGGTCTTCTTGATGGCGGAGGGAACGGCCTTGCGGGGATTCTGTGTCTCTCCGGCAGCAATACCCACGAGCTCAGTGCCCTGGTAGGAGAAACCAGCCTGGACCAGGACGGACCAGAAGCCCAGGAACTTGCCTAGGGACACTCTGTGTTCTCCGATGACATCGAGCAAGTAAGGAGCGAATGCGCCTGGCTCACGCCAGTACTTGAATCCGATGTATCCCTGGTCACCCACGCCGGCATTGACGCAGATGGCAAAGAGCATGAATCCCACGACAGTAATGACCTTGATGGAGGAGAACCAGAACTCTACTTCACCGTAGAAATTGACGGGAAGCAAGTTAAGAGCTGTAATGAAGGCCCAGAAGACGCCGATGAAGATGGCCACAGACAGGTGAGGAGCCCAGAACTGTATGATCAGACCGGTAGCCGTGAGCTCGAGGGCGAACGTGATGGCCCAAGAGAACCAGTATATCCAGCCCATAGCAAAACCCAGGCTGGGATCGACGAAGCGGGTAGCGTAGGAGGTGAAGGCACCGGGAATGGGGATGTAGGTTGCCATCTCGCCCAGCGAGGCGATGACTGAGAAGACGAGAGATCCCACAAAGGCATAGGCAATCAGAGCACCGGCAGGACCGGATTTTGCGACAGCAGAGCCGCTACCAATGAAGAGACCAGTTCCAATGGTACCACCTAGCCACAGTAGTGTTAGCTTGTCGATAATACGTACATACATAGAGACATGCGCCGGCCATGCATATGCATGGAGGGGACAAAAAGCGAGGGGAGGAGGGTATCATACCGATAGCTATCATCTGCAAGTGTCGGCTCTTGAGTCTCCTCTTGAGCTCGACGCCGGCGGTGACGACATTGTGCTTTTCGATGTCAGCGCCAGCCTCTTTGGCGTAGGCATCGCTGGTCATCGTGATCTCGTCTGCTCGTCCCATGATGAAGGTGAAAACGACTCTCGTCGTCTCTCAGCATTCAACAGAGAAACCAGCCCAGCAGCAGCAGCAGCAAGCAAACAAGCAGAAACAGGAAGAATAATAACACACTCCGTCAGGTAACCGAGGGGAGGATGGCGAAGTTTTTATGACTCTTTGCTTCCTCTTTGCTTTTTTGGCCGTCAAGAAGTAGCAAAATCTCCACCGGGAGGAGATTTTTTATCAGTAGCCAGCCTGGGCACAGAGATAGAGAGGGAGGAGAAGAGTTTTCCGACTCGACAGAGGCACACAAGAGGACTCCAGAGATAAGTATTCCGTTAGTCGGAAAGGGAGAGAGGAAGACGAGCAGAGCCAGCAGCAGAAGCGGAGGAGGCTAAGGAAACCCCAGGCCTTGCCCGCCGGCCAAACCGTATCAAAGTAAAAATGATGAAATATAGCTAGTCAAAAAGAAGGCAGCTCAGGTGGCGAACCCTGGCCGTGATCGCGACGGACTCGCAGGCTTTGGTCGATGGTTCGCTGTCGGATGCTCCGTCGTGAGCAGATGGGGGTGTCGATGGGGAGCTGTTGATGGAGATATTGATCTCGATGTTGAAGCGGCTGTATGGATTTGATATCAGCCAAACCGCCGCTCAGTATGTCTTCTAGCCTGCCTCTGCTTCCTCTCATCCTCTTTGCCGTCGCCGTCTTCGTCTGCTCCCTCATCTCTCTCTCTCTCTCTCTCTCTCTCGCTCTGGCGGCCATCTCATATGTAACCCTGCAAACGATGGCTTGGTGCTCATGGGTTCCTCCCATGTATCCTCGTATCCCCGGCCTTGCTCCCCCACAGGCTACTCGGCGTCGTTCGCTAATTCGTGCCCCCGTCTCACCGGCCACTGGATCCTTGCCCTCCCGTCCGAAATGCGTGACCTCCTACGCCCTTTGTTCTGGAGTCCTGCCCGCCGTCTGGTTGGCTGGGTTCAGGAGAACGGACAGGACGGTCTCTCGCCTGAGAATGCGGAGAAGAGATGGAGCTAAGCGTAGCGTCATTGAAAGCGGCCTCCTCCCCCTTCCACCCCCCCAGTCGTCTAGTAAGTATTATTATATTGTTATACCCCAGGGATGTTTTGGGTTGAGTTGGCCCTCTCTCGCACATTTAATTGACTCCTGATATCTGCATGGTTGCGACATGGTTGGTGCATCAGTCGGGTTCTCGTGCGTTGTGACTGACTGCGGCTACGGCCTTTTTCTTTTGATTACGGGAAGCCACCCCCATGTCAGGAGAAGAAGAAAAACAGCCAAAAGAAAAGAAAGGAACAGGTCAAAAAAACTCCCGATGGAAGCCAAAAGAAGCCTCTGATAGCCCTCTAGAAAAACTCTTTTACCTAATGGCACATGGAAAGGTGATCGAAAGCCATTGTTCCAAGCGGGCTAATTAACCGGTGACGCCGCCCCTGGAGATGGTTGGCCGCCTCCCCTTAATATTGAATTTTTTTTTTTTCGTTTCTTTCTTTTCCTTGTCTAGCAGAGTATGGAGTACGGAGTAGTGGTTGGTTGTGTTAACAGGTGGCATGTTTCCAGAAGTTCTCTTGCTCCAGGTCCTCCACACTGAGGCTGTGTAGCCTGGTATGGGGAAACCGACTGTCCGGGGTCTCTGCACACGAATCATCGGGGTCGTATCTCAGATAGTGTAATGTAGAGATACCAGTGGAGCGCAGGAAGGCCAGCACACGATTGTAGTTCAGGCCTACCTGCTCCACGCCGTGACTATCATCGGAAAGGCAGAAGCGTCCCTTTCTCGCGATGAACTCCTGTAGACAGAAAGCTGTTAGATAAGTCCAAGTTGATAGAAAGGAAAGGAAAGAAAAAAGGAGGGGTTACCCTGCATATCTCAGCCTTGGGGTACGGCTCGCTCATCCCCTTACGCAGACTGGCCGAGTTCAATTCGAGCAGGCCGCCGTAGCCAGCAATGAAGTCGAGGTTCCGCAGTATCTTCTGCCAGACGTTTGGCCACCGGGTAAAGCTGCCGTCTGGCTCGTCGCTCTTCAGCCGTATCAGGTCCATGTGGCCGACGACCGGCGGCTTGAGCGCCTGCAGCATCGCCAGCTGGTCGTCGAAGTAGGCCTCAAACAGCTGCTCGTCCGTCCCGCCAGACAGCTCGCGCGCCTGGCGGTACGTAGGCCCGTCGTAGTCCACCGGAATCGTGTGAACATGGTGCACCGAGCCAACGAAGAAGTCGAACGGGAACCTCGCCAGCGACCGCTCGATCAGCGAGAGCGACGACGGCCGGATCCAGTCCGTCTCGAAGCCAATTGGGATGTTGATGGCCTGCTTGAACTTGTCGCGCAGCCTTAGCGCTTCCTGGAAGTACGCCGCCTCGTTCTCGAAGCATTCTTCCTCGGTGAAGGTCTGTAACCGGCAGAGTTAGCCCTCGTTCCTAGCAGGATACAGCTGGCGGCTTACCTCCTCCGGGTAGAAGTCTATCTTCTCGCGCGGCATGTGTTCGGACAGGCAGAAGACTCGCATCTCCTGTCCGATGGCCGTCTGGATGGTCTCCTCGAGCTGGTCTTTGGCATGGCCGGGGCAGAACTGGCCCGAATGGCTGTGATGAGAGAACGGCATCCCTCTCTCTCTGTCTCTCACTATCTCCTGCCCGCCCTGTCTATCCGTCTGTCTATCTAATATCGATCTATGTCGGCTGGCCAAAGTACGCTTCATGAAACATCGCCGGCCGAGATGTTTCTGCTTGCTGGCTTCTTATATAGTTATAGTTTTCCGCTGCGGCGATTTCATGTGAGCTTCTTCGGGCCAAACTTCAGCATGATATAGTAAAGAATATACAGATATCAACGTCAACCACCTGCTCGCTCTTATTTCGTCGGAGTAAAGGAGTCGATGGAACAGCGTCGTTTCAGCCTGTGATTTCCAATGGGACAGACATCTTTTCACCACGTGTGAGGCCAGCAAGGGGAGCCCGTTGCTAGTCGGATTCTCGATTCTTCTATCAAACGGCCGAATAGCTTGTCAAACCGGCCAGTACAGTCTGTTACTCCTTTCGCCAGAGCCATCCCCGGCTCTCTCTCTCTCTCTCTTTTCGTCGGTGTATCAATATGGGAGAGGCGAAGATGTGCTCTCTGGTAGCTGTAGTTATGACCTGCATGAGCTGCTTAGCGCCTGCGTGGAGAGCCCCAAAGCGCCGGGAATAGTTACACCAGGAGTCGGTTGATAACTAATCGACAGCTGAAATTGATCAGATACTCCTTGTATGAAGTCGAATAGCTGAATGAACAGTACAGATGGACGATATCATTCGCGTCTGCACCTACCATCGCCGCGACTTCGACCTGGCGGTTACCAGGCTGAATCCGCGAGTCCACGATGCGGTCCAAGACTCCCTGGCTCGTCCGTTCAACCGCCCGGCTGTCAAAACCCTTGGCCGAATGCAGGTTCTGCCCCTTGAGATCGTCTTTGAAATCTTGCTCTGCTTGGATCTGCGGTCTCTGTTCGTGTTCCGTGAAGTCAACCTCCGGGCTCGCCAGGTCGCCTCCGCCGTGCCTGGATATCAACCCCTGATAACGCATGCTCTCCAAGCCATATGCGTTATCCTACGCACCAAGATCGCGGCGTGGTACACATTAAAAGACGTCTTCAATGTGCTCTGCACCCGAGACTGTCCCCAATGCGATGCCTTTGGCGGGTTTGTTTTCCTCCCTTTGCTCGAGAGGTGCTGCCTTCGCTGTCTTACCTCTTCTCCCCGATTCCGAGTCCTGCCAGCCGCAGAAATCAAGAAGCTACTCGGCATATCACAGGCACATCTACGCCAGTCGGTGCCGTTGCTGCATACGATTCCTGGAATATACTCCATGGATGAATCTTCCCGCAAAAGGAGAATGTATATCGTGGCAGTGAAGCAAGTATTCACTGCATATACCTTTCCCAGGACATCGGCGTCAGTAGCGGCCACAGCTCCTGCAAGCAGAGCCCACGCTATTCTACGGTATATGGCCGGCACCACTCTGCCGTATGTCAATATAGAAAGCGGCGAGATTCAGCGCGGCCTCTGCTGCTCAGGCTGTCAGATCCTAATTGAGGGCGGCACAACCCCAAATCCTACAGAAGATCTCGCGAGGCGGGACCGTGTATATTCGAAGACTGGTTTCCTCGACCATTTCCCACGCTGCCCCGAGGCTCAAAAGCTGTGGAAGCGCAGCAAAGAAGGCAAGGTAGCCGTAAAGCTGCCAATGTCCATTATCCGAGGAGGCTATTTTAGCGAAAGAGATGTTATCATGTCATATAGCAAGCGAAAATATTCCGATCTGCAGGCAGTTAACTAACTTGCCTTAGGCTTTACTGGAAGTCCCTAACTGTTATGTCGAGTCGTGTGGTTCACAGACTCGACTCGGGCTGGACGGCGTGTATGTTGAACTTATCTCAAGTGAACCTGACGAGCGTACCCGTCCTAGCCCAGGTGGTGCACAAGCTTCTTCGAATCCTCCTAGAGGCCATCTGAGGGCCTGATATTACAAAAGGTAGGCATTCTCTCGATAACTACCAAGCGCCAAAAGCTTCAAGAATTTCACTCTAAATTCGGTTTCTGCTTTCCAGGATGGAGTGTCATCAGTCTATGCCCGTCCTATCAATGGAAGTTTGTAGCAAGGACGACAGCGAATACCGACTATTGATTGATGGAAATGTGAAATACATCACTATCTCTCGCACACCTATGACAGAAGCACTCTTTCTGCTCCTCTGCAATCGCTACCGGCCCTACCAAAGGCCAAAGAATGGAACACGGCATTTATCAGCCGAGACCCATCCACCTCTAAACTGGAGACCAGATTTTCGAACCGCAAGCTGGGCGGAGTGCATGAAATCTGGCATCCCAATTCCGTGGACTGCCTGACGTTGACCATAGTCATACAACTTTCTGCAAATGCTTCAGAGGTCACTGTTTCTGGGAACCGGGACTCCTCCGATGCTTCGACATCATTAGGCCCGCAAGCCACTGCAATTCTCAAGATCGCCCGATTTGAATGGGAAATACCACGCATTGTGCAGGAGACCAGAGCTTACAAGCTGCTAGAAGAGAGCGGATTGGCCCCGCGGTTTCTCGGCCATGTCCATGAGCATGGGCGAGTGATTGGGATCCTGGTGGAGAAAATCGAAGGGCGCGAGGCGTCGATTGGAGACCTTCCAGTTTGCAAAGATGTTGTTCAGCAGTTTCATAAGCTTGGTTTGCTGCATGGAGATGTCAACAAGTACAATTTCATTATAGGCAGCGGGACTGCAAAGTTGATTGATTTCGAAAATAGCCGGGCACATCTGGATGACTGCTCAGCTATGCAGTCTGAACTCGACTCATTGGAGACTCAACTGCAGGAAAAGACTGGGCGTGGTGGAGGATTCATGTCTATAGAAAACCCAAGTTGATTTGTAACCATCATTCATTACGCAGTGAGGAAATGTGGCTCCTGCGCCTGTTCCCACCATGCAGTATTCTGGAGATCGCATCCTCTTGGCTACGGACGAGTTCCTTGGTTTATGCAATTACTAATAGCATATAGTTATACCTTATTATAATATAAGGAAGTCTGCTATACTTGGCGGGCGTTCTTATGGTTGAGCAGTATTGGCTGCATATACTCTTAGATATCTGCAGCTATTTGTTCGGAAGAGGGCGCCAAACTTCATCCTTACCCCGAATATCCAGGCAGACAAAGAGAGAGGTAACAGAATAATGGCCATTTCCCTCGTACTAGTCGGCAATTCCATCTTCGGCTACTTTCAAAGCTTCCGGCACTTCTATTGTCGTCACGATGGCATGGGTTCCTTTGGAGTGCTTCTCCCTCCAGTTTTTTCCACGAAATGGGAATTTTCTTTCAGGGTTCAGAGATCCTCATCATGATCATCGAAAGGAAAATGATTTCTAATAGCTTCTCGCTCCAGTTCAGTGGTAGAATGCTCTAGAAGCCCTGCCTTGATGATTCGTGCAATATCCCTTGACCTTTCAAGGTGCTCACCATCGGGAACCCACCCCACTGAGTCGACATTCGCGCAAGCCTTCATTTCCGTAAACTCTTGTAGCTTTTCTTGTTCCTGCGCAAAGTCCGTCACGCATTTGAGAATTTCTTCCCGGGTAAATTGGACAGGGCAGTTAACCACATTTGGGTATGATGACTTTTCAAGAGGCATTGGCCATTTCTCGTATGCTTCAATCATTGCGTGTTTGAGGGATAATGTATCCCCTTCCCAAGGAGCTCCAGCTAAGGTGAAAAGCTTTGCCCGAAGCATTGAGTTATAACTTCTAAACGCGTCAAAATGGTCAGGTAGTTGCTTCATCGTCAAAGCGGCATAGTAAAAGTGGGTTATCTGTTTCCGCATAGTTTCCTTTATAGATTCCTGTTCAGCCTCGCTCAATGTATCGAAATTCTCAGGCCGTTTAACCATAGGTGTTGCAAGTCTTTCTGACACGGGGTCACCCCAGTTCTGGAAGTAAGATGGTATGTTTGCGCATAAACCGAGAGGTAAAACGGCTGCATGTTGCCAATCAATAACTCCTACTATTTCGTTGTCCGAATTAACCAAGATGTTGTTAGGTGAAAAGTCTGGGTGTCGGAGGACCGGCCGAGCGAAAGGGTGTTCTGCTGGTATTTTTAAGTAAGGGGCAAGTTGCAGGTATTGCGACAATACTTGGACGTGGGCAGTCGGTGTCATTTCTTGTAATTTGTGCAATTCGCGCAGGTACCGCTCGACATGGAGGCGAGGCTTTCCAAAGTCTTTACAGAATCGAATCTCACGTTTTGCTGGAGCTTCAAAGCATTTTGAAAACGTTTCCCCTATCCCCAATGATTAGCAATTTTGGCTAGGGAGAGAAAGATAAGCAGGGTGTAGTACACGGGCCACGATCGACGTCTAACGATTCTCGTTCCTTATACCACCATTCATACTGCGCAATAGGGCCAACGGCTATATCATCGGCAGTGGTCTGTTCGGGTAATAGTACATTGGGTTCCGATGATGTGAGATCTTTACGGTAGTATAAGCTGCCGCTTGCGGGGAATGTAATAGACATGAACCGCGTCTCGACTGCGACAATCTGCTTCATAATTTCGGCGCGAGTCTTATTGCCAATGGTAAACCACCGATCTCCGAGAGGGCTACCGTTGATTTTTTCTAAAAGCAGATATTCAACGCCAACGGAGTTTGAATTGCTTGCAGAATAACCAAGAACCCTTGGAACTGGTAAACCACGCGAGTGTAGTAGGCCAAGGGTAGCAGCTTCACTCGCAACAGCAAAGCGCTTTGGTACCATCGAGTGGTAAGGAATCCTGGCAAGAACCGTATAGCCATCTTTGAACGTAGCTTGAAGCACACGGTTAAAGCCGCCTTCTGCGAGTTTCGTTATTGAGATAAGATCAGACTCCGGTCGACCGGTAGATTGGCATATGACGGTAGCTAGAGCATCACGATTAAACTGCACATGGCGTTCTGCAAGACGAAGCTGCTCGTTAAACCTATAACAGTCGACCATTAGATATTTTATTTCAACATGATGCTGTGGATAATTCTTACAAGAATCGACCAGACGTGTACTCAAACAGCTCCGGATTGCTGCTTTGGGTACCCACTGTCCTTATAGCTTGATGGCGTCCTGGCGCAAACAACCGTAAGAACGACCGAAGCCACATCCTCTTACCTGAGGAATCACGTAATACACAAGGTACTTTCCGTCTTTCAGTAGATTGGAGGCGTACGACCTCAAATATCTTGACATTTTCAAATTTGAGGTCCTTTCCCCCTACCTAAAACCTCTTGGAGCCTCCGGCCCGGGCCGCTCTTGGCACTTTGTATATATCGTGCAGGAGATGTCGCTAAGGCGGCGTGCGGAATGAATTAATTGCATATTGACACCTACATAGGGAAAATAGTTCCGGGCTCACAACTCCGGAGTAGCTGCAATAACCGTTGCAATGACATACTCCCCATCGTGAGAGATCGAGAGCTTCCCAAGCTGACCTACAGATCCTCCTTCACGAAGATATACCACCTCTGGTCGTCCGTCTCCGCCAGCTTCAGCTCGAATCATCACTTCCTTCCAGCTTACACTTGCCGCGCCTCCAGGAGCCGCCTTCCGAGCCGCTTCTTTAGCAGCAAACCGTCCAGCTAGCCATCTTGCAATTTCTGTGGAAGTCTGAGCAGTTATAGGTTGAGAAGGTAACTGGACATCAGAGGCAACAGACGACAGCTTGAACTTGGACTTGAAGTATGCCTGCTCCTGTTCGCAGAGTATACGACGGACAAATCTGGAGAGGGACGTTTTCTGGTTGGTAGCAGCGGCAGGGTCGAGACTGGTGCTGGCGGCGACGGAGCGGGCAACGAGTCGTTGGATACGGGGGATATGGACGATATCAGTGCCAACATTCAGCGCAAACGGGAACGGAATCTGCTTCATTGGGGGATTTATGACAATGATCTGGCTGTCGCTTAACGCTGTCCTTCTCTTCTCTCTTCTCTTACTTCGAATTGTTGTCTCGTCGTCGTCGTCGTCGTTTATCTTGACTTTAAGCTTCAAAAGCTTCAAAAGCTTCTCGAGGAAGCTAAAAGTGTTATATTACGTAATTACCATGGAACATCAAAAACCCGAGATCTCTCCAGTTTTTCCGGCGGTTGCTTTTAAGGGGAAAAAGTTAAGGTAAAAAAGAGACCTCAGGCATCAAAAGACGACGACGACGAGATGGACGTTTAGTTGGTGGAGAGACGATGAATAGACGGTGGCAGTTCCTCTGTCCCAGGTTTCATTCCTTAAAACGGCTTCTCGAGCAGTTGCTGGCATCATGTGTGCATCTGAAAGACTGTCCATACCGCGTAATCTAAGCTCCTCGGTGTATATAAGCTGCTGCTTGTAGCTCGGATCCTTCCTGCTCGTCTATCTATCTGTAGCTTACTGCGGTATCTTGCCACGACGTAGGCTGCCCGCCGCCAAAGAACGACTGCAGTAGCAGTGTCCAGCAGAGTCAACCGTCTCTCTGTATATGCCGTAGCCGTAGCCGTCACCCTCGCCGTCCCTGCCGGTGACACAAAGAAGACACTTGGGCGATGGACCAAACGTCGTCGCTGGCTCGACCCGCTGATTGGCCGAGGGGGAGCTGCCATCCCCGCAGCCCTATTATTCGCTCGCTGGGCGAAAGGAGGGAGTTTGCCGAGTGTGTATCAGACGAGGGATACCGACAGTTTGCTACCCTTTCGCCCTGTTGAGGATCTCAAGTGGCCTGACTGACAGGGCTCGACCTGGATACCTAGCTAGTTAAACCAGTTATATATCGTTATCACAGCAACCGACGTTTCGTCCTCTGTCCACGGGAGGGGAGGTCACTATGCGCACCGTTGTCTGCCACGGAAGCCCATACGATGTAAGCTGATAATAACCCGCTCATACCAGCATCCCACGTCATAAATGTGTCGAACCCAGCTGACACTGAACCTTCTCCTGCACATCTAGGTAGGGCGCCAGCATGGAGAACAGGCCTCCAAAGAGATTCATGGAAGCTTAGACTTCTACAAGACTCTGCTGAAGCAGAAGTCGTCCATGTCTTGGGCTGAAGTATGCCGAACAGCGCTCAAGTTCCAGCCTCTACTGGAGACGACATTTCCAAACTATATGCAAGAGATACGAGGTGAGATATTCGTTTTATCGCTGACATATTACTATATCAGCATGTTGGCCTGGTCTGGCTGGCACCTCTGTTACACCGGTTCCAAGTTCTGCTCTGTACGCTTAGTCTTTTTTTTTTTTTTTGCTGCCGCCTATTGACACTTTCTTAACAGGAATCGCACAGGGAGCTGGTGTTGACGTGAAATCAGTACTGGCGTTGAATGTGCGTACCGAGATTGCATATGGCATGTTTGATGATGGATGCACAGCCTTCTCATGGAGGAATCCAAGCGCAAGCTTCCTTGCACAGAACTGGGATGTAAGTTGATACAACCGGCAGAGAAACATATACCCAAATACCATCTCCCATCTCTCTCTCTCTCTCTAACGGGTATTGTTACTTCAGTGGGAAGATGACCAGGCGCCAAATCTCATCTCGTTGCACATCGCACCCCTAGATACGTCAAAGCCAACTATCCATATGGTCACCGAGGCTGGCATTATTGGCAAGGTTGGCCTCAACTCCAAAGGCGTCGGAGTTACCCTTAACGCCATCAAGGCAGAAGGCGTAGACTTCACCCGGCTGCCCTGCCACCTTGCTCTCAGACTAGCACTGGAAAGTTCCTCGCGTGTCGACGCCATCGGCAAACTAGGAAAAGTAGGTGTTGCATCGGCATGCCATATCACCATTGCCGACTACACAGGTGGTACTGGTCTCGAGTGCTCGTCTATGGATATAGCATGGCTCAACATGGGCGATTTCATGGAGAGCAGACCAGATATCATCACTCATACAAACCACTTCGTACACAACCACAAGAACGGCTTGAAGTCCGTGATGTTCATGCCTGACAGCGAGGCCCGTCTGGCCAGGCTAAGAGAACTGCTGGCCCAGAGCGGGCCCAAGCCAGAGTTTGAGAGGATAGAAGAAATCCTGAAGGACGAGAAGGGATACCCGACCTCCATATGCCGACAGGCAAAAGGTGAAAATACAACGTCCACGTTGTTTAGCATTATCATGAACCTTAGGCAGTTGAAGGCCACTGTGATTGTTGGAAGGCCTGTTGACCCTCAAGGGGTTCTTGAGTTGAAGCCTTGATATGGGGGTATATGGCTGGTTATGTTAGGTTTATTCTTTTATTTCCCCCCCCTTTTTCATGGTATATAGCATCTTGATGATTTCCTTCATGTCACTTTTCGTGGTTTTATACGTTCATCCTTTACTTGAGCGTACCTATTTCTCTTTATGTTAGTATATAGTGATGAAATCGTTTCCATACAGACCATGACCGTGGCTGTAATAATAAACAAGTATTCAATGCCCGTGTTGGAAGATCCATAAAAGTGAGAGAAGTTGATCCAGTATATGAGAATCATGCCAAAAAAAAGTCTATTCATGCCGACACGATATCTATCATTCTCAGCGGGTAACCTAGTACACAGACATGTATGCACGCATTAAACAACCACAGAGATCTCCTTTCTCGCGCGCATTCAATGAAAAATCAATGCAAAAGGGAAAACCCGCCGCTGTACATATATTTTACATATATCAAGTCTTCCCGCTCACGCCGGCAAATCGAGGTCAAGGATTCGTCAAGGAGTAAAAGAGACGAAGTGATAGAGGAGAATCCAGGAAGAGGGCGGCAAGTACGGGTTATAGGGGTAGGCGAATTTAGTGCTTGGCTTTGGCCTTGGAGTCTTCGGTCTCAACGCTCTTGAGGAATTCCCTATAACGAAAGTGTTAGCATCATGTCCAATTCATTTCTAAATGCCTATGAAGATTCTTGTAGGACTAAACCCCTCGACGTACTGGATGAATGCCTCCTCGTCCTTGCTGCTGGCCTTGATTGGTGGGGCCTGAGCCTTGCTCTGCTTTCCTGGGAGGGAAAAGTAGATGCCGCCGGCAGTGCCACCGAGGACGGTCATGGCAAGCTAATTGAGGGATAAACGTATCAGTAACAGACATCTCAATATAAATCGATAGCAGATATAATGGTGGCGACCCGTCTCGGGCGATCCTTTCAATCCAACGGGACCATTGGGGGCGTTAGGGAAGATGAGTGAGAACGTACGACGTGAGAACCGACTTTGCGGCCGAGGATAGTGTACGTGGCAACCATTGTGAATGTAGTAGAGTTTCAGAAAGGCGTGTAGACCCTGGAATGCGACGTAGAGTGGCGGCGAGAGATCTCAATGCTGGTGCTGGCGAGCTGGGCTGGACGGAGCAACTTCTGCTTCTTCCCTCGAAGTTGTTGCTGTTTTGCAAGTTCGACGTCGAATCGGCAAACAATTCACGTGATCGATAACATAAGCACGCTTAATAATAAATGATTCAGCAGGACCGGGATGACGTAAGGGGTTCCCCGGCTCTTGCCGCCGCTTTTGCCTGGCCGAGCGGGCTTCTTCTAGATGCGCTGGGAAGCTCCGTGTTTGCGAACGACCTCCTTCGTGTCGAGACGGCCTGATCGAAGTCCTTCTTGTCTCTCGTAATACACCCGCAGTGTGCTGGGAGTGAGAAGCGAAAACTGGATTTACACTAATAATAGCTATCTTACCTCCAGCTTCAAACAGCTCGAGCTATGGCCAAGGACGAGCATGTTGCCGTGACGGGCGACTCTAAGCCGGTGGTGCCTCGCACCCGCAGACTGACCCCTGAGCTGCAGAAGCTCGTCGACCGCGAGGAGGAAATATTGGACCAGCTTTACGAGGGCAAGTAAGGCTAACTCCATCCTTTGAATCGTGTTCTTTTACTCTTCAACTATTCCGAGGGGTGGGATTAAGCCCCTCCGTTGCCTGATTGCTACTTGGGACGCCACTGTACTCACGCACACATCTGGCTGGCTATAGCTCGGTAGATACTGTTGATACCGGATATCGATACTCGGCCTACGCAGCTCGAATCCGGACGCTGCTTCTTTCTGCACACCGTTATGTCGCATATACATCGGACATTGGAGAGTCTTTCCGGCCGGTGGCACATCCATGGCTGGTTAAGGGCGCCTACGGTGTCTCCTGGGCATATATCTTCGGGGATGTCGCTAACGAAGGATACAAGGCATACCTACGAAACCAGGAGATACTCGCTCCAAAGAGCGATGCTTTCCGGAAGGCGACTGAGGCCATTGCTGCTGGAGACGTTGATGTGAAAAGCAGTGCTGACCGCAAGGCACTGGAGGAGCACTTTATGAACAAGGCTGCACTTAAGGACGCCGAAGAGACATTAACCTCCACAGCATGTCCCAAACACCCAATGCCGTGGAAAGATCCCGAAGAAGATACTCTAGTTCCATGGCCTACTAAAAAGATCCCTCTGAGCGAGGATTACCGCTCCGTCATGGCTGAGAGGGCCGTGTTCCAGTCCATTGCCAGTATGGGCTTACCTGCATTCACAATTCACTCGATCGTCAAGTACTCTGGCCGAGCAATGAAGAACATGAAGGGCGTATTTTTCAGAACTTGGGCACCAATTGGGGTAAGTCAGGCCACTCCAACGCATGATTAAACCGGGGTTTACAGCGCTGACATTTCGCCTCTCTTGTTGACGTAACAGCTTGGACTTTCCGTTGTCCCAGCCCTACCGTATCTGTTCGACAAACCCGTTGAAGAAGCGGTCCAATGGGCGTTCCACAACGCCTTCCTCATGTTCGGTGGACCTAATGCCGTTCCTCAGGAAACTCTACCCCAAGGAGCATTCTCGGAGGCGTTCCATGCAGCGCAGGCTGTGAAAAAACAGCGGCAAGAAGAGCGAGAGCGTCGAAGGGAAGAACGAAGACTTCGACGCGAGAAGTCTGAATAAAAGCTTAAGCGACATACACACCATCCTTGACCTACTTATAGCCTTAGCCTCCGTTATACCCACAGTCCCCTTTAGACTGTCGTACGCCAAGTTCTGATCAAGCATTGTTACCCGCCAGTGGCTCACATCTATATCCAAGGCATTAACCATCTCTTCTTATTTTGTCCTAACTCCCCTTTGTCTGAAATAATGTCCGTCTTGTATATCCACTACTTACTCACCTGCATTCCGCATTGTATAACAAAAAGCGCAAAATGATTGATGTAACGTAGCTAATCCAGGCATTTCCCTTGCTTTGATCGAATCCTTTCCCGCAAGTATTAATCAAGGAACCAATGCACGTACTCCCATAAGGTGGTATATACAATTCAACATGCTGTATTCGCTAAGTGTATAATTTATAAACAAGAAAGTCTAGAACTTTTTAGTCTTTTAGACCCCATGGATAATAGAATAGAAACCTGGACGGGCGTCTTGAATCTCCTGTACATAACGCCGTGAATCTATCAATTCGCTCATAAGTTCCCAAGAAAAAATATCCAAGTCTATTTAACCAAGCCAGAAAGTCAAGTAAACGGACGGGGAAAAGGTCATGAAGGGGGCGACGACAGGCACTTATTACCCCAGAGGTATAGAAAATGGACCCATATGAACATTAATCAGGAGGGGTATAACGCAAAGGAAGACACATCGAGCATCCTTCGTATAGATCAAATGCATCCAATGGCTCGGAAGCGTCGGCGTTATATGTTGATGTAAATGGTATGTTGTGATCCGGGGTCTGTTGCATTGGCGCTTCTTGCCCCCTGCTGGTGCTCGCTAATGAGGTTGCAGTAGACCAACAGGGTCTCCCGGTATCTCATGCATGAAAGAAGCATTTAAGATCTCTGCCCAGGGTCAATAGAGCTCATAAATCTTTCTCTCATTCTTGTATTCACCACGCCACCAACACCATAGGCTGGCAGAATTCGTCCAATTCTAGCAATACAGCTTGGGACCCAGTCTCTCTTCACGCGAGCCCATCTATCAGCTGCTGGTAACCCTCCAGGAGGCTGGCGATTATAGAGGTCCAGTCCTAGCAAGTGGAAGGGCGTGCTGATTAGCTGGATAGAAGCCGGTATGGCGAATTGAGCAATGGCATATTTCGACTTTGGATTTGATGCAATCGCATCCGGTACGTATCTGGCTACTATGGGCGGGAGATTGAAGGAGGCAAAGATGGTGATACTATCACGGAAGCAGAAGAGACCATATGACGTTATTGGAATCTTTGGTGCGCTTTGCGGTAGGCAGGCGGCCGCTGCTTTGATCTGTGGAGTCACGGCAGCAGCAGTCGGGGCCTTTGCGGATGCTGATGAGGGCTTGTTTCCTTGTCCTTGGGTTCCGAATATCTTAACAAACCGGGAGTCTTTATACACGCATATTGACATGTTCACCATGGCCGTGGTTAGGAATTTCATGAATCCAGTGGATACATTGTTATAAGCCTTATCTTCCATGGTGGACACGGCAGTGTCGATCAGGTTGGCAGAGAGGTAGGTGGATGAGTAGAGGGTGTAAATGAGCAGGAAGGGAGTCGAAGTGAGGAATCGATGGGGTTTTGTTATCATGCCCTTTAACGATGAGGCCAAACTCGATTGAATTGATATACCCTTTGCTGCTTTCTCAATAATCGACCTAACACCAACCCAATTGTCAGTTCCGTATCCATACTAAATAGAGATATATCATCATAGCAGGGTGACTCAAGACTCACTTGTCAATAATGGTGATCATCGGACATATGAGGGCACCAGCAGTTGCAGCACTAACCACATCGACTGCCAGCCTTGATCCCAGGTCCCTTGTATTCCATCTCCGAGCGCCCCCGAGGACGGTCTCTGGCACATGAAGTTGGCGCGGCTCAAGGAAGCCCTGGCGGCCGTCAACTGGAGTGACAGCCCCCGCCTTGGACTCGACTCCTTCTCGAGACATCTCGGTATAGCACAGCGGTTGTTGGCACGCTTTTGGGTACTCGATAAGAGAATGGGAGAAGTCAAAAGAACCTGCCAGGACTTATTCCGGCATGAGACAATGAGTTCTCCGGTAATGTCTGAGATACTTCCGGGTATCGGGGAACAAAAAGGCGAAGTTAGTTCTCAGCTTATAGGAGTCCAACGCGGCAGCACACAAAAGGCGACCGTCTCATCCAGGCTGTCCTCGAGATAGTCGTCCGCCAGAGAGAGAAAAAGCCCCAGCCAGCGCCTTTTCAGTCTGGCCTGCTCGGGCATCCCTGGCACCTTTTTAAAAGCAAAAGGCCTCTTGGGCGAGTTCAAGCACAATCACGTGACCAATTCCGGGATGACCCCCTGCGAAACGGGCGCATCGAGATTGGCTGGCAGAGGCAAAAAAAAAGAAAGAAAAGCAAGCAAGCAAAGCAAATAAAGATGGAGAAGGGGGAGAAAAAGATGCAGGTTTCATGGCAGCTTGAGGCCGAACTAGCCTGCGGAACCGGGGGACCGAGACCTCTCCGGCCAGTAGCGTTGCTGGTCGGCGTCGGGGTTGCTTCGTTGCTTCTTCGCTGGCTGGCTGGCTCTTCTCAAGTCGTCCTTGCAAGAGTGTCAGCCGAGTTGATCGAGAGCCAGAGAAAAAGCAACCATCGTCGTCCTCACCAATGAACGGGAGTCGGGTTGGTGATATCGTCGGATAGAGCAGTTCAGTTCCTATCCTCTCGAGGGATAGGATCGCGTTGCGGCGGTTCGGAGCGAAGAAGCAATATAGACGGTGTGACTTTGATAGTCGAGGTCGTTTCTCAAAGATGAGTTGTTCATGCGAGTTACATCTCAACCGTCTTTTGCCCCTTATATTCGGGCATATAAAGCTCTGTGTTCATCAATTCTTGTCAGCCTGCGACTTGATTGATAATTAACCGCCACAGGGTATGATCACAATGCTTTCATTGTCTGCAATGGACAAGCCAATTAATTATAGGGTACACGATGAGCTCACCACTCACCACTCACCACGAAACAATATCGGTAGCCGAATACCTGATAGCCGGAGATGAGAGGATAACTTAACACGAAAGGAGCTAGGGGAGACTACTAACTAGTGCAAATGGAATATACCCCTTAATAACAACACCAACTCCGGACCATGGGGAACATATGTACTCCGTAGGATGCTCGTTAATGATATTTATTTCTCTATATAGGGTATATCAGCTCGATATATTCGTCTATCTTAACCAGTAATAGCTGCCTTGGAAGTCCGAATTATAGCCTCACTGGCGAATCCAAGGAACTCATTTCTATCTCTTCTATTTTTCTCCACGCCTGGATGCAGCAAACTCCGGCTTCTAACGAACTTCGGAGTTAGCAATACCGCGCTGGCATCTCTCGTTAATTCTATAACGTTTCCTTGTGCCAGTGAGCAAGTTCTATGAAAAGATATCTGTTATCCCTGCCATATCTTGCTTCTCGCCCTGTCTATCACTTGTGCCATCGGCACCGAAGATTTCATCATTCGTCTGATCCAAAAGATTTGTCCTCCAACTTGTGGTGGCAGGTAGTTTCTGATTTTGCGATCCCCACTGAACGAACGCATTGGATATTTAGACAATGAGGCCATCATTGTATCCCGTTATTGAAGAACGTATGGATGAAATCATCAGTAACCCTGGGCTCTGGATTATCGCAACCATGGTAACTGAGCGGCCCTTGAACCCTAACCTAAATCTCACTAACTAGACACTTCTACATCTAGCATTTGAACATAGTTTCCATGGTAAGGCGAATCTGATATCCCAGGTGATATTATGATGATCCATACAATACTGGAAAGATATCATCTATTAGTGGACTAACTGGTGGGTAACCAGTCGATAAGAAGCGAGGAATACGCGCTATATACAGTCTCTTTCACACAAAAATGCGCCATTTCTAAACGTCTGGAGTCATGTATTATCTGTCCTAGAACTCCAGATCAGCTGGGCATCTAAATGACTTGACAGAGTTATATGATTGAATAGCCGAGGCTTCAAGATGAAGCATCACTTATAGTACAGTTGAATTGATGTCTCTCGGTTAACCTGTTTGCTGTAACCAGCTCTTCGTATACTAGACTAGGATAATCGTCCAGGATAAAGCGCTAGTTAGACGATCTGGCCCCAGTCCGGATATCAATTTACCCCAGATAAATTTCAACGATGCTCTGCAGTTGAACAACCCCAAACCAATAATTGCCGATATCTCCAATACCACATCATCGGGACCCGATGAATCCAGATATATCTCCACCGCCTAAACTCGAGAGGGCTGATGAGCCAAATATTGCACTAGACAATGATAAAAGCCCAACATCTGTTGATGTGGAGAGAGATGAAGCGGACGAGGTCCTTAGGTCTGTCCAAGCCTATTCACCAGAGGAAGCAAAGCGGATATTGAGAAAAGTCGACTATCGACTCATTCCACTGCTTACCTTACTTTATCTGCTTGCCTTTATCGATAGAGGAAACAGTACGTATAGGTCTCTATTATTTAGTTATCCGCTTTACATGACGGAATGCTAACCTGCTAACTAGTTGCAAATGCCAAAATTGCCGGTTTGGAGAAGGATTTGCATCTGGTAGGCTATCAGTACAATATAGCATTGACACTCTTCTTCGTTCCATACGGTCTGTTTGAAGTTCCTAGCAATATCATCCTTAAAACCTTGCGGCCATCAGTATGGATTGCTATCATGATGCTGGGCTGGGGCACTGTTACTACGTAAGTGTTCCCAAGGGACTTCTTTATAATAGCAGTTTCAACTAACACCAGGTTCTAGATTGTTGGGAGTAGTCCAGAGTTACCAGGGTCTGCTTATTGCTAGATTCTTCCTAGGTGTAGCCGAGGTATCTATCTACAAATTACGAGCCACTGTCTATACCAATTACAGAAATTGATGGCTGACTTGGATGAACTATACAGTCTGGCTTCTTCCCGGCAGCTACCTATCTTTTAACAATATGGTACAAGCGTTATGAAGTTCAGCATCGAATGGCCATCTTTTACGGTTCTGCTTCCTTGTCTGGAGCATTTTCAGGCCTCCTTGCGTTCGCCATTCAAAAGATGCACGGTATTGCAAATCTTGCAGGATGGCGTTGGTAAGTCGTTGTTTATTGAGTGGGAAACGGGCAATTGACTAAAACATGGAGATAGGATATTCATACTTGAAGGCCTCCTACCTGTTGCTTTCTCCATTGTGATCTGGTTTATACTCCCGGACAGCCCTGAGAGAGCAAAGTTTTTAACCAAGGATGAGAAGGAGTTCATTATAAACAGACTGTCTCTCGAGACGGGTTCTGGACAAGGCCGAGTTACTAACAATGACAAGATCACACCCAGACACGTCATAGCTGCTTTCAAAGAATGGAAGATCTACTGCGCTATACTGATGTTCTGGGCGAATACTATTGGCGTTTACGGGTATGTATATGCCTCCCACTAGAGATAAATGGGCAGCTAAGAGCTATCTAGATTCACTGCAACGGTGCCTACAGTTATCAATGATCTTGGGTATACTGCAGCGCAAGCTCAGCTGTTGACCATACCCATATATGTTGTAGCAACCATAGGGATTCTAGTATTCGCTTATCTCTCTGATCGCTATGAGCAGAGAACTCTATTTATAATTGCTGGAAATACAATTGCCCTTTTGGGATTTGCAGCACAGCTAGCCATTCCACATCCTCGATATCCTGGGTTGACATACGGAATGCTGTTCCTCGTTGCTTCTGGACTGTACTCAGCATTCACCCCTGTGCTATGTCTCGTTGGTATGTTTTATTTCACTTACAGGCTCTAGGATGCAGTCAAGGGATATCACTAACCAACCCTCTAGCTAATAATCTTGCACCCTCATCCAAGCGAGCCGTTGGAATGGCTATTCTGATTTCCATTGGTAACTGGGGCGGCATAGCTGGATCGAATATATACCTCGCTAAAGAGAAACCAAAATACCCGACAGGTTTTGGAGTTTCTTTGGCAATCTGTGGGATTTCAATCATAACAGCTATATTCCTCCGAGTGGAATTCAAGAGGGTAAACGACCAGCGGGATAAGCTAATTGCGGAACAAGGCGAAGAAAATATCAGAGCTAGGTATACAGAGAAGGAGTTGCTAGATATGGGTGACTTGAGCCCATTTTTCAGGTATACCCTTTGACCTCATGGCTAGATTGAAAGGGGCAAGGGCAGAAAAGCCGAAAATAGTCCGCACAGATTGCAGTGACCTGCTACTTATTCATCCCAAGTAGCTGCAAATCTAACTGCCAAGTTAATTTTTCAGGTTGCAAATAAATATACATTTAACGTTTAACATTCCTCCGTTGGAAGGCGGTTGGACGCCATTCCATAGTAATATGGTCGTGATATGTTTTATAACACAGTTTACCGGGAACGCCTGCAGGATGGGAATCAAAAAAGGATGGAGGTTGAAAAGAAACATAAAGAGAGGCGGATTATTAGGCTGTGGAACCCTGGTTGATGTTTTGGAAGCCCTCTAATGTGACATTAACAGCACCAGCTTGGACCAGCTATTCCAATAGATCTGTTAGTACATCAGATTTTTGTGGAAAAAGGGGAGATAATGGCTTACCGCTCTTCTCAGGTCATCGATTAGATCATCTGCATCTTCAATACCCACGCAAAGACGGATCAGGTCTTCGGGCATAGCCCTCTCCTTACGAGTCTTTGCATCGATACTGGCATGGCTCATACGGCATGGCATGCTGATTAAACTGTTCACGCAACCAAAGCTGACGCTGATTGCCCATAGCTTTGCACTTTCGACAATGCGTTCACTTATCATCACATCTCCCGTCTCGAACGAAAGAACAGCGCCAGCTCCTCGAGCCATTGTCCAATGGAGGTCATACTGAGGATGTGATTTCAGGCCCGGATATCGAACTTTGAACCCGTGTGATTCAAGAAACTCGGCAATTCGCTGGGCATTATTTTGTTGCTGTTCCATGCGGACCTTGAGCGTCTTGACGCCACGAAGGAGAAGCCATGAATCAAATGGCGACAGGCCGCACCCAGAGGCATTTATGGGGAAGTATAGCTTGTCTCCGAGTGTTAGGTCATTAACCGCAATGACACCTGCCATCAAGTCGTGGTGACCGGAGAGGTACTTAGTTCCACTCTCATATACAATATCAGCACCCAGGTCTAGCGGGTTAAGCAGCAGTGGGGAAAGCATGGTGTTGTCTACAGCAACTAAAGCACCAGGATTTTTAGCATGGGTCACTGTGGAGATTCGGCGTATATCAACGATTTTAATCAATGGATTTGTAGGAGTCTCAAGCAAGACCATTGCCGTCCTGGAGTTGAGTACCTGCTCAACATTTTCGGGATTGGTAGTATCGACATGGTGTACAATGATTCCTCCATGGGTAGATAAGTATTTGAGAAGTCGGTTGGTCCCTCCATAAAGATCGTCTCCCGTCACCACTTCATCCCCAGGCTTGAGGAGTCGCGTGATCACATCCAACGCCGCCATACCGGACGATACAACAAGTGCTCGTTGTGCCGACATAATCTTAGCCAAGTGACGTTCAAGATGTGTTCTAGTAGGGTTCCCAGATCGTGTGTAGTCGTATTCACCGCCCCCACCGCCAGATGTCTGTTTGAAGGTAGCACTCTGTGTATGGTAGAGCGGGTTAGTAAAGCAGCAGAATAAGCTATAGCCATCATGACTAAGGTAGGAGGATATCATAGTGGTGATATTTACCTGGTATATCGGTACGCTGCTGGCATTGAACTGGTCATTACCCTCGGTATACACCAATTCAGTTGCCAGGGCATATCTCCTCCCCGCCCTTGGGCTTGACGGAGCCGGCGATGGCGGCAGGTCATGTCCAGCTAAGTCAACATGTGGGAATGCCTTTTTCACAGCGCTGCCATCCTTGCCGGCTGTAGCAGCAGCAGTAGCCCCTGGCGGGGGAGGGCCTGATTCGGACATCACGGGTGTCAATTATAAGAGAGAACAAACAAGACAGTAAAAGCAACAAAAGTCCAAAATGATAAGCAGCTGTAGTAATAGTAGGTGTCAATATATGCCAGGAATATGCCAAACAAGGACCTCTTGTGGTTTTGATATCAAGAGGGCTGGCCGTGACTCCTCGTACTTTTCCCCAGCAAAAGCGATCGCGTCATCAAAAGCTGGAACACAGATATTATGTAATCCCCGTCTTCGGCAACTAAGGTTCCAAGGTGTCGAAGAGATAGGGGCAAAGCAGGCGACGCAGAGATGATACTTGATGAGATGGACGGTTTGAAAGCGAAGGGACTTATTAGTTTGGTTTATTGTAGCTATATATATATTTTAACAAGAAGAATGGAAAAAAGGGGAATAAGTGTAAGAAACCCTCCGATCTACGGTTAACGCCTATATCCATTTGAATAACACATGGTTATACATCCAATTTTCTCTCGTGACGTCCATCCATAATATCACACAGTCTTAGTCCAGCCCCTCTGCTACCGGGATAATTGCAGATGCGTCGACCATTTCGTCCTGCCCTGATTCAGTGCTCCAGTCCTTCTCTGAGAGAGACTTTCTGAGCGACGTAGTTGAGTGTATTGATGATTTGACTGCACCGGCTTTCTTGAAGAAGTCGGTTGTTCTCACTCCTCGTGCTTCTTCGGGGTTGACGGAGTGTATCATTGCTCCGGCATCACGTTTTTCTCGGATAAGCTCTCTGACGGGGACCATAGCTGCATCTCTACATGCTTCTTTGATGTCGCTTCCGGACATTCCGTCCATGACATTAACGAGATATGACAAGTCAAAATTGTCTTTGTCTAACTTCGTATCCTTGAGCACAATGTTAAGGATTCGTCGTCTCTGGGCTGCTAGTGGTAGAGTGACAGGGAATTTCTTGGGCATTCGTCGTAGGATAGCTTCGTCAATATCCTGGATCCGGTTGGTGGCACCAAGTATAAGAACCCTCTGGGGTTGGCCCATGGCGTTTGCCGAAGTCAACCCATCCCAGTGGGTCATGAATTCGGCCTTTACCATACCACTAGCCTCATGTTCTCCACTGCGTCTTGTTCCCAGGACGGCATCGATCTCGTCAATGAAGACAATGCTTGGTTCTAGTTTCCGTGCAAGTGAAAACACAGCGTTAACAAGCTTATTTGAGTCCCCATACCACTTTTCCGTCAAGGTTGAGATGTGTAGGTTTATGAAACATGCTCCGCTTTCATGTGCAAGAGCCTTTGCCAGCATGGTCTTTCCACACCCCGGGGGTCCGTAGAGCAGAACTCCGGAAGGTGCGCTGAGTAGAGAAGAAGTCGTCCTGTATAGTTGTGGCATGGTAAGCGGGTATATAACTGACTCCTTCAACTCCTCAATGATTTCGTCCAGGCCTCCTATGTCTTCGAATGTCACAGGGATATCTTCTGGTGCAACAACGTCCATGGCGATGGTTTGCTCATACTGAGTCAAGACAAGCTTCTCCTTTCGTTGTCGTCGCTTGCCATTCTTCTTCTCGCTTCCTGACGAATCATTGTCTGAGTCTTCTTCCCGGTCTAATCGTTTGAGTACCGCGGCAGACTTGCGTTTGGCTTCTTCACGCTTTTGGCTATCTGGATCCAATTCGAGTTTGGATAGTAGGAACCGGACTACAAAATAAGTTGAGAGAGACTATTGTTAAAGACAAACATGTCAGCAGGTAACAACCATCACGGCTAGCTAAACAGGGTTTGCACGCACTGTACCAGCGATCAAAATCAGCTCCTGAAAAAGCTGTTGCCAGCGCCGGGCGCCGTTAGAGGCCATCAGTGAGGAGGATCTGTCTGTTCGGTACAGTCAAGCGTGCTCGCCGCGCAAAAGGCCCTTCTGTAGCAGCACAGCGCAGTGTTCAGCAGGCCTTCTTCTGAAAATCGAGACGGACAAGCTTCTTAAGAGTGTCAAATATATTAGTGTCTTTGCTTGTGATCGATACAATAACTGCTGCGTCGCCATGACTAACTAACTTGTGGCTTGCGATGCTTTCTTTCCGCCCATTTTGCGCCGAGGCTTGAAGTTCCGCTGTGGCTGAGGATCACGTGCACAAGCAACCAAACAACGCCAAACAGACGAAAACACTCGAAGGGGTTTGGATGCTGTTGATAATTGAACGATACCAGGGCTACAGTTTACTCAAATCATAACCTCGAGTGCGGTTGAAACGAAGAAAACAGCTTACATAGGTCCAATGCCTAAGCGCAAGGCAGAATCGAAACTTTCGTCGCTGGTGAATGGAGACATAGAGGACGATGATCTGAGTCGCGTCGAAGATGATGATAACGCGAGCATAGAACCTCCGCCAGCCAAAAGACAGAAAGGACGGCCAAAAGCCGCTACGACAAAGGCTACGGCCGCGGCAACAAAGACCACAAGGAAAACGCGCTCGAAAGTGGTGGTGGGCCCAAAGAAGCGTGGTGCGGCGGCAGGGCGAAAGAAGACAGCCAAGGTGGTTGAAGAGCCGCCAGCTGATGATGTGGACAGTGCTGAGGAAGAAAATGAGACATTAGGGAGAGAAGGGGTTTCAGAGGACGAGCTCGATTCGCCGGAGACCGTTCATAACCAAGAGAGTCAAGAGAAAACTCGAACACGAGGGAGAGCAAAGGATACCGAGACCATAAAGGACGGGGAATTCGAGTATACACCTACAAATACCAAGTCAGCGGCAGTTAGAGGACAAAAAGGAAAACAAACGGCAAAACAAGCAGCCAAGGAACCCTCTCCGCCTGTAGAGATAACGCCGGAAACTGTGAAGAGTACATCCAGGACTAGTATATCCGCCGGCAAAACACAAAGATTCACGCCTTCAGGAGTCCACTGGGCTTCGCCTGTGAAAAGTACGAATGTCTTGCCCCAGCACAGGACATCTAGGCCATCTGGGATAAAACCGTGGGGCAGCCCTACAAAGGGTCGTGAGACGGGAGATGGAGAGGTTGCTCTCAGGCTGAAACTGGGTGAAATGACCAAGAAGTATGAGAGCATGGAAGGGAAATACCGTGCCTTGCGGGAGATTGGCATAGTTGAGGCAAACTCAAACCTAGAAAAGATACGGAAACAACATGAGGAGACCACCGCAGGTAAGCTGCTTTTATCATTCAATGACGTACGTGGTGATAAGCTAACAAGCAACATCGGTAGCATCTAAGCAACTGATCAACTCCCTGAAGAGTGAACTATCGAAGCAGTCAAGCGCATCAAAACAGACCCGAGATTTGCAGAAGCAACTTGAATCACGGAACGAGGAAGTGGCTCAACTGCGACAACAACTCGAAGAAATGAAGTCTGGCTTAAACAAAGCTCAGACAGAAGCCAAGTCACTACAAACAAAACTTACAGCTGCTAGGAATGCTGCTGCTAATGCGGAAAAAGTAGCTACAGCAAGAGGCTCTGCTGTCAGGTCAGGAGCTGTAACTAGGGATACTGCCAATGGTCTCTTGGAGTCGGCTCAGGTGGCCCAGCTCAAGGAAGACCTGTATAGCGACCTTACCGGCTTAATTATCCGAGATGTGAAGAAGAGAGAATCAGACCACTTGTATGACTGTATACAAACTGGTCTTAATGGAAGTATGTTGGCCCATCTCTCCCCCGCACCCCCCCGTTGTCTTGCTATGTCTTCGTGCTAACCTGCGAAGTAGCACTTCATTTCAAACTTGGTGTCAGCCACAACATGGACAACCGATCAACTGCCAGCCTGGAAGCAGCGGAGTTCCACTATATTCCCTTGCTAGATGAGAACAGAGACCGAGATCTGCTGGAGATACTCCCCGACTATCTTTCAGTAGACATCACTTTCTCGCGGCAGCATGCAGCTACATTCTATAGCCGCGTAGTAGATAGGCTCACAAAGAAGCTGACGGACTCTTAGTTCGTCCTCATATATAGCTCAATCCACCGCCATTTCCCTCAGTTCCTCATCACCTCATCTTCTCTTCGTCTTTTCCATCTCGTCTTCCTCTGCGGCCATCCTCCAAAGGTCCTCCATCCGTTCCTCGACTTAAGCTTAACTAAAAATTTTGCTATTTTTACTTTTTTTGGCGCGGGCCGGGGAGCTCTGTGCCCAAGCATCCAATCAGAAGCCGTGATCAGGACATTATTTTTCAGCGAAAGCGACAAGCAGCAAACACCTTGTTGTCCTTCGCCCCTTAAGCCTCAATATTTAGTGCTAGTTACGCCCTCCCACCTTTGGCGCTGGTGATGGACTGCGGCCTCTCTCTCTGCCTTCATAGCCTGCTCAATCGAAGGCTTCGACATTCTTCCGCACCCTCATCCGTTGCCCGACACTGAAGAAGAAGCTGCTACTGGAGGGGGAGAGAAAGAAAAGCTGTGCCGCCATGTCTCGCACAGGGTTGTTCCTAGCCCTAGCGGTGCTCTTTCACCTTATCTACACCTACTCGATCTTCGACATCTACTTCGTCAGCCCAATTGTCAGTGGCATGCGAGAATATGGCGTCGAACGCGCTCCCAGTGCCAAAGCCCCCGCCAAACGCCTCGTCCTGTTTGTTGGTGACGGTCTGCGCGCAGACAAGGCATTCCAATACTTCCCGGACCCTTCCCCTCCAAAGACCGGCTGCTCGAAGGACAGCGAGGACAATGTAACCTGTCCGGAACCCGATTTGACGCCCAAACCACTTGCGCCGTTCCTCCGTTCACGCGTCCTGGATCATGGCACCTTCGGAGTATCGCACACTCGAGTACCAACTGAGTCAAGACCGGGCCATGTTGCTCTGATTGCAGGCTTATATGAAGATGTTTCGGCTGTGACAACAGGATGGAAGCTGAATCCTGTCAATTTTGACAGTGTGTTCAACCGAAGCAGACACACCTGGAGCTGGGGAAGTCCTGATATCTTACCCATGTTCAAGGAGGGTGCTGTCCCTGGCCGGGTCTCTGTTGATATGTACAGTGAAGAGGCAGAGGATTTCACTCGGGATGCTACATTTTTGGATATCTGGGTATTTGACCGTGTTAAGGAAATGTTTGCAGCTGCAAGAGAGGACAAGGAGCTCGATGCACAGCTCAGAGACGATAAGGTTGTGTTCTTTTTACATCTCCTTGGCTTGGATACGACCGGGCACTTCTACCGTCCATACTCAAAGGAATACCTACATAATATCCAGATTGTCGACCAAGGCGTTCGCGAGATCACTGAGTTAATAGAGGATTTCTATGGCGACAAGGAAACCGCCTTTGTCTTTACTGCCGACCACGGTATGAGCGACTGGGGCAGTCATGGTGACGGTCATCCAGATAATACCCGTACACCCCTTATCGCCTGGGGTTCTGGAGTAGCTAAGCCAGTGAAGTCTAAGAAAGGTGTTGTTGCACCTGGACATGAAGACGGTTTCTCCTCAGACTGGCACCTAAACGATATTAAGAGACATGACGTCGCTCAGGCCGATGTGGCTGCTCTAATGGCTTACCTGGTTGGCCTAGACTTTCCCGTCAACTCTGTAGGAGAACTCCCACTCTCCTACTTAGATGCCACTCCAAAGGAAAAAGCCAAAGCCGCTCTCGCCAATACCCAGGCCGTCCTTGAAATGTATCGTGTCAAGGAGGAACAAAAGAAAGCTACTACTATCAAGTATCAGGGGTATTCGTCTTTTACACAACCGCAGCGCTCACCGGAGGCTCAATTAGCTGCCATTCGCAAGTTGATCTCGACCCGCAAATACGAGGAATCAATCCTTCAATCTAGAAGGCTGTTCCAGGATGCATTGGAAGGGTTGCGTTACCTACAGACATATGACTGGTTGTTCCTCCGCGCCATTGTGACAGCGGGATACTTAGGCTGGATCGCATATGCCTTGGTCACGGTGATAGACCTGCATGTTCTGCCAACTTCTCCGGAGCCTGACCGATCCGTCCCCAGCTTCATGTTCTTTTCGTCCGTGCTCATGGTTCTATACTCTCTTCTATGGGTTCAGCAGTCGACGTGGCGGTATTATGCATATGCATTTTTCCCAGTTTTCTTCTGGGAGGAAGTGTTTGCTCGCCGTGCGGCCCTTGGTGCTGGGCGAAAGATACTCCTAGGCCACGTTAAGTCGTTCACAGGATATGCCATGTTTCTGTTACAATCTAGTCTATATATCGGGGTTTTACTGGGACTTGTGAGTGCACTCTGCTGTCGATGAATGGTGTGTTTACTAACGGACCCTAGGTTCAATCATATTTCAACCGAGAGATATACACATATTGTTATCTGCTTGGTTCCGTATGGCCCGCTCTCTACGGATTCGAATTTTTGAACAAGAATAAGCTACTCTCGGCAGCATGGACCATCAGCTGTATTTGTATGAGCATCTTTACCCTCTTACCTGTCGGGAAACAAGACGATGCAGATACAGTGTAAGTTTTTTTCAGTTTCGAAAAAATGACTTCCAGTTGCTAACTTTCCTGATTTAGTACCTGCGGAGGTATTCTTATGTTTGCCACTGGAATGCTCTACTTGATATTCGAGGAATCTATCCTTTCATCCTCGAAAATAGGAACTCGTTCGGGAAGCACCTTTAACATCGGGTCACGTATTGTGATGGGGGCTCAGGTATGATTCTATAAAACTGAGACCTGCGTTTCACGCATACTTACTAGGTGCTAGATTGGCCTTATACTTCTTTCTATCATTGTTACTCGCTCCAGCATTGCATCTCTCCAAGAGAGAGCGGGATTACCTCTTGGTAACCAAGTCACGGGCTGGATTGCAATGGGTAAGTCATCCTCGACATGATTTCTCGTGATTCCCAGTCTGACATATCCTAGTATCATCTTTTATCCTACCGATGCTACACAAGCTCTTCCCAACAGGACACTACTTCCACCGTCTGATACTTCTGTTCCTCACCTTCTCACCCACCTTCATCGTCCTCACAATCTCTTACGAAGGAATTTTCTACGTCGTGTACTTTGCAACCCTGGTCAGCTGGGTCCGACTTGAATATAGCATCTACAAACATACACTGCCCTCAATACCCACCAGGCCAACGCTCTCCCGAGAAGATACCCCTAGACCTACGTCCCCAGGCTTCAAACCGGCTACACCGAATACTAACAATTCCACATATCGGCCTCTTAACATCTCTGACGCCCGCATTGCCCTTTTTTTCCTCTTCCTTCTTCAATCCGGTTTCTTCAGCACTGGTAACATAGCCAGTATATCTTCTTTCTCCCTCGACAGCGTCTCGCGCCTCATCCCCGTTTTCAACCCTTTCTCTCAGGGCGCTTTACTCATCCTCAAAATCCTCGTCCCCTTCGCTTTACTCAGTGCAACCTTCGGCATTCTCAACCGCAGACTGCATGTTGCGCCGTCAGCCCTGTTTATGATCGTGATGTGCATCAGTGACGTGATGACAATGAATTTCTTCTTTATGGTTCGTGATGAAGGGAGCTGGCTTGATATCGGCACTACGATCAGCCATTTTTGCATATCGAGTGCGCTATGCATATTTGTGGCTCTCATTGAGTCCTTGAGCGGCGTGTTCATTTCGGGAGTTGAGTTGGATGGCTATCGGGCTCAATCCGATCTGGGAGAGGAAAAGGACACTGTTTCCAGCTAGACAGTAGAATTTTCCTATATCCCCCTTACTTACCCTTTCTCCATTTTTCATCTTCTTTTGTCCATTTCCCTTTTTACTTATACTACATATTGCATTCTTACGCTCATCCATAATGATTTCTGCTCCCAGGTTATTATCCCCTCTTCTTTTGTTTTCGTTAATTTTGGTTTTTTGTTCGAAACGAATGGGGTAGCCTAGGACTTTTCTTCGCAGAATTATTATAAAGGACATCGCTCTTATATTCGTACTTATATTTTGTGGTAGATTTTGCACATACTATAATTTTATATAGATCGGAATAGAAGCTGGTCAGTTGCCTTTTCCTACCGATGTCACATTGTATTGTACCTGGGAATCAAGCATGGCCAAACGTAGCCACTATACGCTATGAACTAGGTTGAATGTATATCATTGCTCTAGACGCTGTGATCTGAGTTCAGTAGTAACGACTACAAAGCTCACGTTGTAAGTTATCCCTGAAACGAGAAGCTTCGAAGTTCAGTCAACAAACTCACGCCTCGGTGCGTCTTGCTGCAGCTTGAGTTAGTTATATTTGACATTTTCTTTAGAAGATTGTATAGAATAACTCATGTAGGTACGGAAAGGATCTTGATGTGTTTCACAGGTAGATCGAAAGGAAAGAAGTTGCTGATTTTTGAAATATGCATTCTGCTCATAGCGAAAGTATGGTTGATTATGTAGAACTACGCTGATCCAAGGGCGCGCTGAGGGGCCGGTTGTAACCAGTCGTAACCACCGAGGCTTCCTATAAACGGCCATTTAGGTACAGGGTCTACCGTTCAAATGTAACCTTATGAGGGTCTTTTTGGCACTGTATTGTTTTTGCTTTATATCCACTCCATACTCACGGAATGAATACCTACTGACATCTGAGGTGTTTGGCTGGAAGACTTGGTGATCGTCGAAGCTAACTAACTAACTACTAACTAAGTTAGTTAACTAAGTCTGAACCAGCTGGTCGGGTCCAAAACTAACTAACTTAAGTTAGGTAGCGCCAAGGCGGCGGCCCGGCGTGAACTGACTCAAACTTACTTCTTTTACTGAACGATATTGACCAGTGGAGGCAGCTAATACATATATATGGGGAGTTTTACTTAAAGTCAAGCTTCCAGATACAAAGTATAAGCGGGGTGCTCCTTGCTCCTTGCCACTGCCTTCCTTGAACCAACATTATAGGTTATCTCCTATTCGTTAATTTCAGCGCAACGACAGGGGTGCATGCGCCTTGCCCTTGACATTCTGTTAGAAGTCCCTTAACAACAGCGACCCATGTACTTACATAAACCCTCTTGCCCCTATTACGGAGTAACAAGTTATCCATTTCTAACTCTCCCTGCCAGAAACCAACATCATCTCCCATTCGTCAACCCTGACACAGAGACAGAAGCCCCTTGGTGAGAAAAAGCGGATACGGAATACATCCGAGCAGGTCAACTAACTGCCACTAATATAAGTACCCATGTCAGTGCAGAGTATTTTCTCTCTCTCTCCTGGTTCTCTCTTCTTCATTGTCTCTTAGGTCATCTCACTACCATCATTAGCTGTCAAACGAATATGGCTGATTTCTACCGTGGATTCCATTTTGTTGGCTGGCTGCTTCTGATAGCCTGCAGTTGGGCCGTGGACACACCAACCCCTACATCTCCGCAGACCGTGGAAGTGGACCTGATCTTTCCACGCAATGAGACCTACGCCCCTTCCTCCCTTATGCCAATGGTCTTTGCTATTCAGAATTTTCGCGCTGCAAAGCTGCTCTTACTGGAATTTGAATACACTCTCCAGCAAGACCCCGAAGTCCCACCAGGCCTCGTAAATGGCATCCGCAATATCAAGTACGGCAACTACACTGGCAGCAGTACTCACTTCGAATATGATTGGACCACTAGGCTCAACAATACGGAGGGTACATGGCTGTTTTCCTGGTCATGGCGTGCACTTAACTGCTCCCAACACACTGACGCGGACCCAGAATACCCGGGCCCGCAAAAACCTTTTCACCTCGAGAGCGATGTCAAGGGCCATGCGGTTTGGTTTACTACCAAGCACGGAGCTAAACAGCCAGATCTCGTTACTGCAACGCGAGATGGCGCGTGCGCTGAGTCACAGGCCGATACCATGAATATCACGGAGATACTGGATATCCCCTGGTCGGACAGCTATTGGGGCAGTCAGACAGCGTGCCCATTGCTTTCGACCGTAACACCAACTCCAAATCCCTGTGGAGCCAAGGTAGACTCTAGTGCGGCATCAAGTATTTCATACGCCATTCAATCCAGTGCATGCCTATCAGCTGTGACTCCCACTGTGGCCTGCCCGCCTGGCGTTGAAACGGGGAACTCAGCACACCACGCAGTGCAGTTTTCAGTCTCAGGGGTAGGGTTGTTCACAGCTACACTTGGTTGGCTCATCTACCTGGTGTGATTCCGACACACTCTATTTATAGGCATTATTGACTACAGCGTATATCAAAATAAAGCTAAGTCCCCCTGTTGGCGATCAATGACACTTTAGACTTGTGCAATATACAGGGGTTGGCCCACAGGTTTTGTGCGCATGATACAGTTCACGGCTAGCCCGGGAGGCTGGGAGTAAGTATGTACATCTCCAGTACAGAGTAATATTCATGACAAGACAACCTGCATATCTATCTAGCTCTATATGAAACCTGCTATTATTATTGTAATCCTTGTATCGATTTTTTTATAAGGTATAAATACCCTGGAGAGTGGTATGAAGCAACGGTGTGCAGGAATAAGTTCAGTACTGCACAGTGACATTCATATGATAGCATGCATATGCTGTGTTCCATTCTAAGCCTCAAGGGCGTCGAAATAATATCAAGGATAAATTTTCCAATTCAGGGGCAGTAGAGGTGGATATGGGTTCGACTGCTGAAGGCAAAAATATATAACCAGTGCTCGAGGCACACAATTTTTCATTTTGCATTAAATTTCACCCACTGCACTCGTTACATCTCATTCCTTTTGCCCTACCGATGCTCGGCGTAGCTCTTGGGTCATTAGGCCTTGGTTTATTTGCCAGCGGGCTCATTGTGCGGGCAAACCCATTATCAGCCAGCTCGCACTACGACAGGAGAAGCTCATGTCCGGCTCGTTGCAGTATCTCGGGGTCAACCCCTTCCGACTGGTCTGTGTACCCTAACCTCAACCGGATCCAATCCTGTCAGGAAGCCCAATTTTATCATTTTAGCCTGTATGATGAGGTCGATGATGCAAACACTTTTCATCGAATCTTTGCCTGCACATCCGATGGCTCTGATTGGGATAACGTACCCAAATCGATGGCGGTAGAAGTGCAGTCCACTTGGGAAGATGCTTCCTATGAAATAGGGTGGTGGCCCGAAGATGGTGGCAAGCTTGCTTCCTCCAGTATCCATTCGCTGTCTATGCAGTTGCGCCACTATCTGGCAAATGGGTACGGATACCCAAACAACACAGTGCTGCTGTTTGGCTACTCGAACCAAGCCGCCGTTGGCCTCTATATTGGCAAAGGGTTGCAAAATGAAGGAGTGGGCTCATTTGCTCTTAAGGCGCTGGGAGACAGTGTATTAGAGCCAGAGGTCAAGACGTCAAGTGTAGCCATGCAACTATGCCACGCAGGATATGACGCTGATCATATCTTTGGCTTCATAGCCACCAGCAATGGCTCCTTCACCCCTATACAAAGAGCACTCAGGACTTGGGCCAGGGCAGAGTGCCTCTCCATCACCAAGTCCAAGAATATCACTGGCCCGGCCTACTTCACCACCCCTCCGTTAGGCCTTGCAATAGACTCAGCTCTGCGTGGTAGTAACGCCACAACAACCACTTCCGCCAGAAACGACCTGGAGCGTCTATCGGCCCGAGCCGATGGCCGGACGAACCGAGTCCAAACGGGCGAAAGTTGCGGCTCTTTAGCAAAGAAATGTGGCATTGCCGATGCTGACATAATCAAACACAATTCCGCTTCCAACTTCAATTCAGTCACACCGGGAACACTTCCGCACTTTAAACCCGAGCCTAACCCAGACGGATCGTGCTACACGCACACATTTCAGGCTGGTGATAGCTGCTCAAGCGTTGCAGCTGCGAACGGCCTTACAAATGATGACCTAGAAGACTTTAACAAGAAAACTTGGGCCTGGAATGGATGCTCCAATGTTTGGGTTGGCACTATTGCTTGCCTAAGTAGAGGGAGACCACCATTTCCAGCTCCTATAGCCAATGCTGTATGCGGCCCGCAGGTACCTGGAACTAAGGTACCAACTGGAGATAGCGATATCGCCAGTCTCAACCCCTGCCCGCTAAATGCATGCTGTAATTTCTGGGGACAGGTAAGCCCCGTCTGTTTGTCCCGCATATAAGATAAACCATTTGCTAATATATAATCCCAGTGCGGTACTACCGAAGAGTTTTGCATCAATACTGGTACTGGTGTTGCGGGAACTACTGGGCCTGGCACCAATGGATGTATTTCAAACTGTGGTGCCTCAATCATTAACGGTAAACCGCATGAGTCCTTTAAAAAACTCGGCTATTTCAAGGGCTATAACTTTTCTAGCCATAGCTCTGTTTATCAGAATACCCTCCAGGATGAAGCCTCACAATATACGCACTTGCACTTTGCTTTTGGCTCAATTACACCCGACTACGAGATCAACACTGGAGATACTGTGACTACCGATGAATTTAATAGCTTTAAACTTATCAAAGGCCCCAAAAGAATCTTATCATTTGGCAGTCGGACAATTTCCAATGATCCAGGGCCTTATACTATCATCTGTGAAGGTGTTACGGATGCTAATAGACTTAAATTGGCTACTAACATTGCTAACTTTATAAAGAAGCATGGCCTTGATGGAGTCAATATTGATTTGGAGTACCCATCAGTTAGTTCAGCCCTTTCTAGAAACAAACAAAGTCATTTATTCCCTGCTAACATGATATACTCAGGCTCCTAACCTTCCGGCTATCCAATCTAGGTCCAAGGATGAAGGTGAAAATTATTTAGCTTTTCTTGTCCTTCTAAAAGATTTGCTGCGGGAAAGATCGGTTTCCATTGCGGCTCCTGCCTCATACCAGTATTTAAAGGGCTTCCCAATGGACCGGATTGGGGAAATTGTAGATTATATGGTTTACATGACCTTTGACCTGCACGGCCAAGTAAGTATACCGATCCCATCGCCTTGGAAACTTGTTTGAAGCTAAGCATTTATCTCAAGTGGGATTCACATGGCACATTTTCACAGCCTGGATGCCCATCAGGAGCGTGTCTCCGTAGCCACGTTAACTTAACTGAGACTATTAGCGCTCTGTCCATGGTTGGTGTTCTATATAACCATTCAATTGATCCTCCTTACGACCTAAACTAATAAAGGCGTTGCAGATCACAAAGGCTGGTGTCCCCTCGAATAAGGTTGTTGTCAGCATGCCTAGCTACGGGATATCCTTTGCAATGGCTGCAACAGGCTGTCATACGCCGGATTGCTTATGCACTGGAGGGCCCCAATCCTCCAACGCAGCAAAAGACGTATGCGCTCAGACTGCCAGATATATTGCTAATGCAGAGATTGAAGAGATACTTAAAGATCCGGGTCGAATCAATCAGCACTACATTGATGGAGCAAGTAATAGCAATATTCTTGTATACGACAATACCCAATGGATTTGCTATCTGAGTGCTGAAGTCAAAGAATCACGAACAGCTCTATTTAATTCGTTAAATATGGGTGGCACCGCTGATTGGGCCATTGACTCAGCATCTTATCACAACCGCCCTGCCAACGCTGGGGGTTGGAGCAATTTCCTACAGAAACGCAGGCCAGGAGAGGATCCTTACGGGGTTGAAAAGCGAACTGGGAACTGGACTGAACTAACTTGCGAAGATCCGGGAGCTGCAGATCGCAGTAGCCTGCCTCCCTCTCAGCGGTGGGGAAGCTTGGACTGTAATCACGCTTGGCAGGACGCGATCAATATATGGAAGACTGTCGATAAGCCCCGATCCAGCGGTGAGAATAAAGCGTTCCTAGCATCTATTTCAATTACATTCAGTGGGCCGGAAGGCACAGACTGCGGCAAGTTATACGACGCGAGCTGTGAAAATACCCGAACATGCGACACGTTCCACGGGAAAGACACAGGTCCAGCGGCCTTTCTAATATGGAACTCCTTGGTGATGGTCCACAATGTAAGTTTCTAATTGAATATGCTAGTTATGACAAATACCTATAATGTAGTCATACAGAATCCAGCTAACCGACGCAAAACTACCAATGCAGATGTACAACGACATCGATAAAAATCTGCAAAGAGCTACTAGCGATTTAGTCAACTCCGTGTTTGACTTCACAGACAAGTTCTTACCGACACTGCCTGCTGACAATAAGTGGTTGCTAGCCATGATAGATCATCTACTCCCTATCGGGACTGCTGCGATTGGCGGATTTGTTTTCCATTCTTGTAAGCTCACGCTCCTCATTTGACTGAAATAAAAAAAGACTGACTTTTGAAAATCAAAAAGGGCTGAAGGACATGGCATATTTTGTAGGGAAACCTACTCGAGATGATGAACTAAAGACTACCACATCACTTCTTATCGGACAAAGTACAACACTCGCTGCAAACTTATTAGATACCCGTAAGATGTAAGTTATCCCCCTACTCTATCCCCTGGTTTTTGCCCTGCAACAGCTCTAGCTGCCAGTTCGCCCAAATAATCGTATGGCTGACACTTGGTGGTTGAATTAACAGTAGTGACTGGTCCACAGCGACGCAAGATGAGTTCTCCAACTATCTTGGTGAAACCATCTATGCCTGGGTCAATATCACAGCAGTCACTCTCCGTGACCTGTTCAACGGCAGTGATGCCTCAATAGCTACTCTTACAGGCATTATTTCCGACGGCAAGCTCATTGATGGACGAAAAGATAATCAAGATGATGTTAGTGTCTTGAATACTAGAGCTGATGCACCCATGTATGATGCTGGTATTGCGAGAATTGTCTTTGGTTTTGCTATACCTTCCATCTGGACGGCCGCGGGGACATTCCCTTTTGTCATTGACTCCGGCTATCCATGCGGTACAATCGACCCGCTCGACTCTTTCCTCTCTGTGGAAACTATGCATGCCACAGCTAGCTGTGTTGATGACAAACTATACTATCTAGCTTCACCAAAAGGCGACGCACGTGAATATGTGCCTTATCCCCGCGGTAGCGGCGGGTATTACAGAAACAACAAGTTCTCGGCTCCACCTGGGGTCGAGTTTTTGAACCATGGGAACTCTTTCAAGGGTGTTACTTTGGATGATATAGTCAAGGGGTGAGTTTGTCATTCCTTTAGAAAGTCGCTATAGTTTGGCACAAGCAACTAACTCAAGTCCAGAGCTGTCCACACATATAAGCAGAATGGAGGCAGAAACGGTGGCAAAGTAGCTGACCCTGGCGATGCTGGGACTCGCAAAAGGCTCGTAAGTCAAGATATCACAACGCCAGGTTTCATCCGTGTGCCTGTCTGCAGCCCTGATGCAGCTTTCAAGTCATGGTTAGGAATGAACAATAAGCCTGATACCACATTGGAAAACTATCCATGCTCCCCACTATTAGCCAGGGATGAATGCGAAGCCTAAACGTTCGAGGACCAGACGAACGGCGGGTCCCCGCTAGTGTCTGATTGCATGACAATAATTAAGAACATTGAAGGAACCGATGGTCAGTGGACTACTCCAGTTGTCGGCAAGAGTCAGCGCCGGCTCGTTGATTTTGGAACTTGCAAGTTTGGCGTCGAAGCAACTAAAGTAGACGGAAACATAGCCTTCTACGTTGGCGCACAGGACATCGTTGATATTATCACAGACGCGATTAAGCAGTTTGCCAAAGACGGCAGGGTTGCTGCCAAGGGCGACATGTCGTGCCGGGGGAACGTCCATGGCCAGAATGTCAAATGGGGGATCTATTGAACTGTACGGAGTACTTCGGACGTGTTCCTTTGCCCGAACTCGATTAGGTTATATGGCTTGTGACGCATTGTCCTTGGATTTGCATTGGATATACCTGGAAGTTGCTAAGTACATACGAAGTGCTCATAGCTTCATTCAACTGTACCCTAACTTTTCTTGAATATATATGTATCATTTGACTCCTTCTTTTCTTACATTATTGGATTGTCTGACTTGTAACTCCTACTCCGTACACTCTTGATAGCTATATGAACTATATCCTGTGTTCGCTGCCAGAGATCTTCAAATTAGTTGCTATGGTCCAGGCAAGGGTCACGCCGGAACACCGCTCGAAAGGAGGCAGGAGTCGGGCAGCCCTCGAGCCTTCACTGCAGCTAGCGAGGCCAATGAGGCCGGTATGGACGTTGTCCGTCCCTTGACGCTTGTTTCTCGCTCCTCTGCCGCTCTGGATGTCACTTTGCTGTTGCTTTGATGCCCTTTTTTTTTTCCCTTGATCTCTACTTGAAGCTGGCTGTGAAAGTTGAAAGGAGGAGAGCATCCATCTTCATGAGAGGCTAAAGTTGCCGAGGTTAAGCCTTGCTGTCGTGTGACATGGTTATACTCATGCTGACTAATGCAGGGTTTCATCATTAGCAAGCACTGTTGGCCATTAAAGAATGCTGGAGCAGCCCCTTACCTAAGCTAGCGCCGCCACTTATAGACTATACTGCTTACCTAATCCCCATGTGATGCCGCAAAAGAAGCAAAAAAACGAAAACGAAGAGCGCAAAAAGAGCGAAAAGAGAGACAAGAAGGAAAAAAAGGGACGAAAAGACAGGCGAGAAGAGGAGAAGGAGAAGGAGAAGAAGAGGAGACGAGACGAGACGAAAAGGCTCCGGAGCGCTGGGAAGAGTCTGGGGTAGACAAGGGACCATCCCGGGTGCGGGCGTCAGCTCCTTTATATGAACCAGGTGTTTCTCTATAAGTAACCTGCGTAGTCATAGTCATAGCTAGCTAGCTAGTGAGTTAATGGTTATGACTATAATATTCTCCAGCAGTAGAAAGGCGCCCGTAGGTCAGCGCTCAATCGCCACGACACCGAACCAGCCGCGCCGCCTCCCGTCCCTTGTCCTGTCTCGCTCCCAACTCCCTCCCCCAGAAGACTCGCCTACGCTTCGGAGTACAGAGTGACCGTCTCGCTGCTCGCCGTTAAGCTCGAATTGCCCATCATCTTGCCCGTCCTCTTCTCCTTGCAACTCCCCTGGAACTCGTAGTCGCAAAATCCCGGCCGACTGAATTGACCGATACCGACCGCCCTGGCAGCCAGGCGTACTTTACACACAGACACCGCCAGCGAACCCCCTCCCCCCCTGCGCAAATCGATCAACCGTGTGTCGACCGCTTCAAAGGACGCAAAGGAGGGCGCAAGAGGACACACTGCCGCCCTATATCGTTGTTCAGCCCAGAAACCGCCATTACACCCTCGCTTCGTGCCGTTAAAAGAGAAGGGAACTATAGCTTGCTGCATCCTTGAAGTCCTGTGCCACCGTTCCAGCGTTCCGCAGCCTCCTCTTGGTTCTCGCTTTTCTTCTTCATCCTCGACTTTCTGCTACCTGGGCTGTTCCATGGAAGGATCGCCTTCTCTCTCGAATTGCGGTCGACGATGAGCAGCGCAACAGCCGATCCAGAGACAGATACAGGCCAGAAAGTCATGGCTGACTCGGAGGTTCAACAGCAGCACCAGCAGCAGCAACAACAACAACAACAACAACCACAACAGCAACAGCAACAACCAGCACAGCTACAACAGCGTGAGTCGCTCGCGGGAAAGGCGAGAAGTGCCACTTCGGGCACCAGTCCGCGCGGAGACGGCGGAGAGGATGGTGGAAGCGGAAGCAAGCAGACGACGACCAGCTCAGGCAACCAGATGAGTTTTAGACGGTGAGTGCTCTGCCTCCTTTTTTTTGGGCCCCGAGAAAACGAGACGGCTCTATTTAAGTTCTACGGGTCGACTGTTATTTGCTAACTGCGTCTCGGTGTCTCCTCTAGACAACGCGCATCGCGGGCCTGCGAGGTATGTTCCGGACGTTTGGTCCTCTCAGTTTGTTTGGTGGAGAGTTCGCGTTTCTTCCCCTTGAGCCGAGGCATCTCGGCTTGCGTTGGGCGGTGCTAGTTATCTTATCTACAAATGCAAGACGGTTCAAGTCGAGTGCTAACATGATGCCATCTTGGTAGACATGCCACGCTCGAAAGGTTAGTCTCTTTGTCTGGTTGGGGCGGTTTGGCCGGTGTTGGTTGGCGACTGATGTGCTGACGAGACGGCCTGCAGGTTCGATGCGATGCCGCTAGCCTTGGTGTACCATGCACCAACTGCGTCGCCTTCTCGATCGAATGCAAGATCCCTTCTCCAAGGCGGAAGAAGAACCAGGCCAAGTCCAAGGATGGAAGCGAGTACGTCTTGGGTTTTCTTTCGCCCTGTCATTGGTTTTTTCCCCCCCCCTTCTAACACACCAGACATAGGGAACGCCGTGAGCAAGGTAACGAGGACGACTCGAAAGATGAAAAGGCTGAAAGCAAAGTGAAGCCTGCAGATGGCATGCCAGTCACAACTTTCACGGAAGCCCAGCAAGCCCAGCAGGCATCACACAATACATCCTACGCCCAGTTCATGAAACCCAAGTTTGCCCGTGCTCCCATCACAGAGGCTGGCCGTGTCGCATACCTAGGCGAATCATCAAACCTCACCTTGCTCGTCCAAGACCGCCATGGCACCACAGATGTCGTCCACTACCCGCTACCGGAAGGCCTGCGTGGCTCGCGCTCTCGCCTCACCGAACTCGATAACTTCGAGATAGACATCCTCAACCAACGTGGTGCCTTCTTACTCCCTCCTCGTGCCCTGTGCGACGAGCTTGTGGACGCTTACTTCAAATGGGTCGCTCCGGTCGTACCGCTAATCAACAGAAGCAGATTCATGAGACAGTACCGGGATCCCAAGAATCCGCCTTCTCTGTTGCTCTTGCAGGCGATTTTATTAGCTGGTTCGAGGGTGTGCACCAATCCGCAGCTCATGGATGCGAATGGATCCACTACACCGGCCGCCATGACCTTCTATAAGCGTGCAAAAGCGCTGTATGATGCTAACTATGAAGATGATAGAGTTACCATCGTCCAGGCTTTGTTGTTGATGGGCTGGTACTGGGAAGGCCCCGAGGGTGCGTACCTGTTCCTTTGCTGATGTTATATTACATCGGAATACTAACGCGGTTATTAGATGTAACGAAGAATGTTTTCTTCTGGACAAGGGTTGCAATCATCATTGCCCAGGGGTCTGGAATGCATAGAAGGTAGTTCGCCTCCGTCTTATCTGTACATTGACTTCTGAAATGCTAATGTCTTCTAGTGTGGAAACATCTCAGCTAAGTCGGCCAGACAAACGTCTATGGAAACGTGTCTGGTGGACGCTGTTCACCCGAGACCGATCTGTTGCGGTTGCGCTGGGACGTCCAGTAAACATCAACACAGATGACTCGGACGTGGAAATGCTTACGGAGGATGATTTCATTGAAGATGATGCAGATGGGCCAGCAGACTACCCACCTGATTCCACTCATGTCCAGTTCTTCCTCCAATACGTCAAGCTATGCGAAATCATGGGTCTGGTTCTCTCACAGCAGTACTCAGTGGCTTCCAAGTCAAGACGCACCAACGCCATTGACTTGACACATAGCGACATGGCGTTGGCCGACTGGCTGCAGAACTGTCCCAAGGAAGTATACTGGGAGCGATCACGGCACCACTTCTGGTCTGCTCTGCTACACTCAAACTACTAGTGAGCCTTTTTACCTAGTATTGTTGAAGAAGGGTTTATACTGACATGTGCCTAGTACCACCTTATGTCTACTTCATCGAGCCCATATGCCTCCTGCAACTGCTGGTCAGAACGCGGGAAACGATGGAATATCATATCCTTCCCGCACAATCGCATTCCAAGCCGCAGCCATGATCACATCAATTACCGAGAGCCTACAAAAGCATCAACAGATTCGCTTTGCCCCTGCGTTCATGTGAGTAGCACCCCGTATTTACAGGTGAATAAAACGGCGTTGACTAATATGACTTCCTTCAACAGTGTTTATAGTTTGTTCTCTGCACTGATTATGCATGTATATCAAATGCGGTCGTCTGTCCCCAGTATAGTCGCCACAAGCCAGGAGAGGATCAACATATGCATGTCGGCACTCAAAGATGTTTCGAAAGTATGGCTCGTTGCTAAAATGGTCCATACCCTATTCGAATCCATCCTGGGCAACAAAGCTCTTGAAGAAAGGCTGCAGAAAGCTGCTGGTAAACGCCACCAGAAGGCAAGACGACAGCAGCAACAGCCACAACCACAACCACAGCAGCAGCAGCAGCAGCAGCAGCAGCAGCAAGAGGCGCTGAAGCGGCCTGATCCACCCAAGAGGAAGTTCGACGAAATGGATATAACTATGCCCAATGGCCCTCCTGCAGCTCAGGTATCATATGAACGATCGAGGCCACAGACTCCAGCTGCAACGCCGTCAATCACTCCAAGCCAATTACCGGGAAACGTGTCTGGACCTGCAGCTGGGAATACACAACAGCACCAACAGCACCAACGCATGCCGACAGATAATACCTTCGTCGGAACCGGCAACGGTGCCACTGGCATTGGCACAGGCAATACCCGTCCAACCTCCCCCTTCAACCCAGCTCTATCAATCCCACAATCTCCACCAGATCTATTCCTCGTCACTCGCAACTCACCCAGCATCTCTCAATCTTTATGGGAAAACTTTCAACCAGACCAACTATTCCCAGACGGCACCAACATGTCTTTCCCCGGCTTCTCGCCTTCCTCCACAAATGTCGACCCACAGCTTCAAATGCCTAGTTTGAACAACACGGCTATGCCCATGGGTATGCCGAATCAAACGCATCTTTCACCACGAGCTGCGCAGAGTCCGACTCTCATGGCTGGTTTGGGCCGCATGTCGCCACAGCACCAGATGGGTCAGGGAGTACCGATGCAGGGACAATGGCCTATGCAGACGTTCGATCCGAATGTCCCTATGGATGCATCCAGCCAGGATGACAACTGGAGTAATTCTTCTCGACAACAGGGGCCGATCCCGCCCACTCTGAACGTCGAAGACTGGTATGTATTCTGGTCTTTATCTACTGACATGGTCCTTAAACACTGTACTGACACTTTCCAGGTTCCAATTCTTCGGCATCAACGGTCTCCCTGATCTATCTGTTGAAAATCTGTAAATTACCTCCCGTCGATGATTTACAAGGATATACCCTTTTCCTTGCCCTGCTGTATACCGTCTCTCTCTCTCTCTCTTTTACTCTCTGGAGCATATTCAAATGGGAAAGGGGTGAGCTAGCTTTTTCTTCTGTCTTCGATTAAATATATCCATCCTGAGGCGCTTGATGAACTTTTGGGCGGCAGAGGTTTGAACTAAAGGACTAACCGTCAAGTTTGGCTATTTTTAAACTCTGTGAGGTTGTAACTAACTGCTAACAAGCTGTGTTTTGACTGAGCGTCTGCTCTACCATTGACCGTCTTTGTAACTACGAGTATCTCGTCTGGTCAACCTGTAATCAAGTCAATCAATGAAAAATCTGCTCGTATCATTTCTCCTTTCTGTATCCCCCCTGTAGATCGAGGGCGAGTCATGTGATGCCGGCCTGCACAAACGCCGAGCTGGTGGCCAAAATACGACAGCAAAGAAGAACAACGACAACGACGACGACGACGACGACAACGAACAAGCAAAAGCCAGCATCAAACGAACAAACGCCTGCCTGCACCAGCCGAGGACAGCTTGTGAAGACAGCTGGGCCCTTGCCGTCGATCTTGCCTACCTGTCCTGAGGCCCATTGACTCCCCTGC